CAAATGTCGCATCTAAGGGAGTTGGTATTACAAAAGCAACACATCATATTAACAGGGCAATAACGTAGTAAGTGCATACGTCACCATATTCTGAAAGTTAGCCCAAAGTAACAACACAACCATAAAATTACGAAAGTTTCTTAGTTACCAGCAGGCGCGAAAATGAACGACATTGCAATGATCTACCTGTGATACGAATGCTCAACCAACATTTCGCCCTAGAAAGTTTACTTCTTTCAATTGCGAAAGAGACACAGAGGTGGTTCCATACAATTGTTATGGATCGTCCCTTCCTGCAATTTAACATAGTCAAGATTAATCAACGGTAATCGACTGCGCAAGGCGGGAAAACTTGACCAGTACCGTTCAGATCGTCATAAATGAATAGAAATGTTATTAAAAAATGTATTAGAGCAGGGTAGCCCATTTAATCGCTTACAGCAATTATGATACACCTTTACGAATCTACAGAGAACTAAAGGAGACATCTGGTATCACGTTTAAGTTGGATCTTTCGAGTAAAGTAGGTTTGAGTTCCATTCAAGGTTCCCAATCTGAAACCGGATTCTGTTAATATGTCATGTGCCATACAGTCTGAGCTACTGAAAATCTCCTTATCCGAAACAAGGACAAAAAATCTATCTTTCAAAATTCGTCATTACGTGCAATAAGTTAAAACGGCGTTTCTTAAGGTTCATTTTTTCTCCGTTTCGTGGGCAGCTGATCACTAAGGGCCGGGCCCCACCACCCTACAAGTGTTAATCTGACGAATTTCTTATTTTTTCACATTGCGGATAGCATGAAAAGTGTTTTCAGATTCTGCAGAGGTGTCGCTGGGGTTGTAAAAAGTTCATGGAGGCCCTTGCCCCACGTGCCTTAGCTCACTTTTACATGGAAGTTTCTTCCACATACTTATGGCGCTCGATAGTTGGCATGCCTTCCCCTCGCCTTTTTCGAGGAGGGCATCGGGTGCCGACCTTCGTAAGTTTTCGATTTTATTCGTGTCTCCCCCACTTGTCAAAACATCCGATTTCTCCTTCCCAGGGAATGTTTCCATTTCGCAGCTTCAGAAAAGCACGTGTTAACATTTTAGACTTTTTTGTGCCAGTAAGTAAGTTTGTGTGATGTGTGTTCTTACAGTGATGAGCCCGTACTACGATTATAAGCGAAAGTTTATTAGAAACACTGTTTTCGGGGAAGATATTAGAAAATATTAAAAAATAGGTGCTTTCCAACCTAAAGATACATAAATAGCTCAACAAAACGGCAAAACACATCAGGAACATTTAGAACACATTGTTTGTATTTGTACAAAGTGTTTGGCCGAAGGCAATTGGGGGGGGGGGGCTCTTCGTTTAAAATGTTCTTGTGAACTCAAATTGAGACAAAAATTTCCTTGCACTTCATTAATCCAGCACCACGCCATGGAGATGTATGTGGGAATGGAGGTACAGCTCCAACATCTTTAACGTCGGCACTGGGTGGAGGTAAGAGGTCAGCTTCAGAACCCTGCCGATTTATCCTCAGTACCGACAAGACAAGGGACTGGTTAGTAACATAATTAAACATGAACACAAAATTTAACCCCCCTCTTCTTTAATATGAGGTGTAGGTTTCATCTGATTCTAACCCCACCTGTTGAGTCTCTCACAAGCCGACATTGGGCTGTCGATAGTTAGCTTTCCTAAGTCAGTTTTATCACCACACTTATAAATCGGTACAATTGTAGATTCCTTTCATTGTTGTGACAATTATTCCTCGTTCCAAGTATAATTAATAAGCTTGTGGATTTCAGAATGGACTATTCTGCCTCCAACTTAGATCAGTTCAGCCCAGATTAAACCCGCACCTCGCGACTTATACCTTTTCAACTTTTCAACAGCAATTTCAAACTGAAAACAGCTAGACTCAAGTACCACTAGCTCTGCTGTGTGTATTTTGGTCGGTCCAACATCATTATTTAACGTCGGCACACCTACTAATAGCTCTGTTTTGTGTATTTCGTTCTGCCGAATATCATGATCCAGTAATTGACAAATTTTTTTTTTCCAAATACTCAAAATGCTGTGGGAATCTAAAAGCAGATCACCTTTTACAGAGTTATGTCTAGGCTGGTAATTTTCATTAAATTCATTTGCCTCTGATATTATGTTCTTCCTGACTATTTCAAGCTCATTAATTTTCATTTAAATTGAATTTCCTTATATTTAAAATATATCTTAGTTTCATTTCTTAACACTGTCACCTTTAATATGGTTTGGATGCTGAAACAGCTGCATGTTTAGCTTGCTGCCTTGATCAAATAATTTGCAAAAATGTATTTTCAATAATAAACTAATTATAATTTGTAAGATAATTATAATTTACGTGTATTTTCCAATAAAGTATCTTAACTTCACACTTTCCTGCCCTTTCTAACGCACATTTTAATACGAATCTTGTAATGATTCCCCACTTAGCTGGCAGACCGCACTTGGGAAAATGCCGTCCATCAGTTATCGGTTATATATGAGGATGACAAAATCCGTGAGGACCTGAATTCAAATAAAGAGAATTAGGTTTCAACCCAACGAAATGCGAGTATATAATTTAATTAGTTTCTTTAGTTTAGGGCAAAAATCTTAATTTAATTTGCCTCTATACGAATACCTATAATAATACATTCCTAATTAATGTAGTTGGTTGCCTTAATTTCACGTAAACTCCATTTTGAAGCTATAAATTAACGCCCCGAGAGCGTGTCGCTTGAGCTCTAATAATTTATGCACTAGTGATGTTTGCTCTAAAACTGGCCAATGTCTGAATACGCTACCTGGAGTTAAAATTACTGTTAGTGTATCATAGGGCCTTGAATTTGCCACACAATTAATACTAGTCCCAAAATCTTTTATTATTGCCATATTGGCATTTAAAAAGGACTATGAAACCGAGATTTCTAGAACTTCACCGTCACGTGGCTTCGTTTTTAACAGTGTCGAAGATCCGTCCCGAAACTTCCTGGATGCTTCCATTAACAAGAAATCCCCCCAGTGCCTAACAACAAAATTAGATCGGTAAACGACCTTGACAAACTTAGTGACGTCTCTCACAAGACACGCCCCATCTGACCAACCAACATAGATACGTATTTAGAGGCGAACACCACGCTACCATCTAGCGGCACCGTATTGAACGACCTGCAGAGAGTCATAATACGATTGGAAAAATTTCTAGAAGATATGCTGTATTCCACATAAACATCGCAGCAAAAGCGAATTGTATTAATACCGATATATGACGCACATCCTACACCCATACCCAAAACATATGCTAAAATTGGTTTTAACTTTAAAAATAAACTACATTTCTGCTTGTATCTTACAGAACGCGAATGCACGAAAAAACCAACAACAAATTTCATACAACGACCAGACAGGTGTGTGGAACATATATCAAATTTTTATTTACTCATCTGAACTGTGGGAGGGCACATACACGTGGGATAAAGAGACGTACGCTTTCTCTGCCATGTCCGCATTATTCAAATGTATTTGTTTTTTGATTATTGGCTCTTGTTACGCGACAGATGTACAGCCTGATTTTTCATATTCTGGAATACTTTGAAATTTCCACGAAAAATCTAAACTCAGTGGTACAGAACGTCACGGTTGAGTATTCAGGAGGTCTCGAGTTCAAACACAGGCCCATACACCGCCTACCCTGACTGAAATATCATCCCTCCCTATAAGTAAATACCGGGGTAGTAACCTCAAATTAGGCCATGGTCGCTTCCTGCTTCATTCATTCCAATTCACCAGTCACTAATCATCTTATAATTCAAAGCTACATAATTCGTTCTATTGACAGTCAATAAACAAATAGACAAACGAACGAAATACATAATTCAGTGTCACGTTTGTGAAGATTATGGCATGTTAATATTAGTTTAGCTTACTAAACTAAACTTTACTTGACTTTACGTTACGTTATGTTTTTGCTGAATCTGTTGTAAACGCGAATACAACGGAAATTCTGCGACAAGTTTGCCGGTATATGACAGCATGTGGGTGAATGCCAAATTGGGTCAAATACATGGTCACCAACCCCAACACAATTCCCAAGTGGACCACCCGGGTCTGGAACACGTGTCAGCTTTAAGGATTCTTGTTAAGGCGCGTCCACATTACTCGTGCTCGTCGGGAGACTCGTCTGGCTTTTACTTGTACTCGTAAATCTTGGTCCACAATACTTCAGTTGCTCTCCAGGCTTCGGCGCGTGAGGATCCTTGTATTTACTCGCAGTGTGTATAGGCTGTAGTAGTATTTTAATTTATTGGTTATAGTTTTTAAATTAAAAATTTTAAATGTGCTTGTCTCGTGACTTGTCATATCGTCCACATTACTCACGAGCATAGCGAGTCACACGAGCACGAGTAATGTGGACGCGCCTTTACGAGACCTTAAATTTTGCATCGTCCCTATATTTCCATACATAAACACACAAATGCTAAAAATGTCCTGTTACTTACTTGTCTGTAAGAAGAATTTCCCTCAAAGTACCTTCAAAAATATGAATTGCGCTATTTACCTTTCTTGTGAACGCACATACAGGTAAATTTTCTCAGCTTGGGAATAAAACAAAATATGTTTGAATACGACCAAAGGGTCTGTATTTAAGAGACCGGTAAGTAAATAATTTCCTTCATATTTTAGTCTTTCTTTGACCAAATCACTCAGACTCTGACGAGTATGTAAAAGGGTCAAATACTGACTATTCGTCCTATATATACATACGCCAGAAACAGAACCTTTTCTGATAAAATAGCATCTCAAACTTCGTCCTGAATAAGAAAGCTGACGTGTAGAAATATACATGACTGTTTTGATCGTCAGACACGAAGTTACTAACATCGTCTTCCATGTATAGCTCACTGTGACGTCACGGTTACCATGGTAGCAGTTCTCTAGGCTATTGATTATTTTGGATGTTTTTTTTTCTGTACATATCTTTATTCCTGCGGCGTCCTAAGAGCAGACAACAGACTCCCACATGTTGGTTGCTATGGCAATCAGTACATGACTTCCTCGTCTTTATCACTGCTACCGCGCACACTTAATCTTACAACGCTTCTTAAAGGACACAAGACACTAGTGTAAGTACCTATAAAGGTCAAATGCATGGTATTTGTTACAAAATATTAAGGCACTGTAATACGAAGTTCCAAACTATGTATTAGGTACTGAAGTGCATTATGTGTTTTGTTAAATGTGTACACATTAATCAAAGACGTAAGTTTGAAGTTAAATACACATTATAGTACGTTTAACTTATTTCTTGGCGTTTAGCATGAAGTACATGTCGCAAAACAAAGATAAATTAGCAAGGAATATGATTCTAGGTTACGCATGGCATTTGCATCTGTATGATAACTGTGATCTCAGATGTTTGACCTTAGGGATAGTCTTGCAGTTCCGTAATCTTTCACAAGATGGCAGGAGTAACCATTCGGAACTCGATATTTAACCTATATTCAGTGATGCAAATTTTCTAGTGTAACTATTTGCCATGAACTTATTCGCAAATATCTCATCTTTCTTATAACTTTTAAGCATAAATTTCAATAATCTACATAATTACTTACTTTTGAAAGACTTCTGCAGTAAGTTAACAACACTTGTGACACGCACTCATCTTAAAACTGTTCGTACACAAAACACTATCACGAGACTAGGAACGAAACCGTCACTCAACCAGTGATACCAACGTGAAGGTTGCCAATGCCCTGCAACGTCACTAAGGTTCCTAATCAGCCACTAACTTATTTTGCAAGCCAATAACAGCATTTCTGCATGAGCTGTAACCGAAATTGACAAGTTGTCGTACTAACGAAACTCGCTTTAATGTTTTGATAGATTGTGAAAGAAATCAAGTTGTGTTAAGAAACTGTTTATAAAATAATGTTAATTTCATTTCGCCCTAGAACAAACGTTTTTTAAACATTTTCTGACCAATTCACTATTGATTGAAATGTAAGATATGCATATAGGCTTATATTGCTAGTTTATGCTGTCCAATCTGAGTTAAAATTTAATTAATCGATAAATTTTCTGAGTTCTGAATTCAAAATTGCTTCAAAATCTGTTCGTCCTAAATGGAGTTACTTCATGTGAACGGGCGGACAGAGACGGGAACGCAACAAAGCTTATGAAGCTGTGGGATACACCTACATAATTTTTTTTAGTTCGCTTAGTGGGGTTGGAGTCCAACTGGGTCCACTCGGTACGGCGGCCACTGATTGGCCTATTGTAGCCTGCCCCGGGTGATTATGATGATGGAGAATTTGGTGGAATGAAGATTGGCAGGGGAAACCGAAGTACTCGGAGAAAACCCGCCCCAGCGCCACTTTGTCCACCACAAATCCCACTTGACCAGACCCGGGCCGCCGCGGTGGGAAGCCAGCGACTAACAGCTTGAGCTATGACGCGCCCATACACCTACGTATGTAGAAGTTATGGATTTGGTAAGCTTCCCACGTTGTCTGCGTATGGTGTTTTGTCTTTTGTAAAGAGGCCGAAAGAATTATCACACGATCCGGTAAGAAGAATTATTTTCCCGTAAAAATACATCAACCATGAAATGCAGAAAAATATTAAGCTTATAGTTCTATATTCTGTGAAGGGAAAGAAGTGCAGCGTTCCTGCCTCTGATTCCTATACTTCAATCTCGAACCAGAGACCAGCTCTTTTCATCGAATATTCCTTCTAGAATATGCTAGGATTGTACTTGAACCATGGGTCACGACCGCTTCTTTTTACGTCTTTCCCATTCATACTACTTTTTTTTTATTATTTTTCTACATAACCGAACGTGGCGGTCGAACCATTTAACACTTTCGCCTACTTTCTTGGCCAGAGCTGATTATTCTTAATACTAAGACCATTTGTTCTACGCTTCTTCGTGGTTTTTCGTGAGTCTCTCTATGTGAATGCTGGGATAACGCCTTAAATAGGTAATGACTGCTGTTTGCCACGTTCTTTCCTCATCTTTTGTTCAAAAGCATTCCACCCATATATAATATATGCCGTTAAATGACTTACGAAACAATCTATATATTTCTGGTAAAAAAAACATCTCAAGCAGACTGGATGATAATGACACTGATATTGTCATAAATGCCATTATATATAAATATGAATAAGTTGAATCAGAATAGTGTGGATTTCATTAGTGTTCTTATTATTATTATTATCATTTCTATTGCTGCTGTTATTAGTGTTATAATTAGTTTGTGTCATCATTATTAATTTATTTAAGTGCCAATATGTAGTATTAACTAAAGAGGTTATGCAGTGTCGTATGACCGAGGGGAGGAGGAGCGTTTGTGGACCCTCCCCTCCCCCTTCTGGTTTGTTCTGGAACTAAGGGAGATCAAGGTTGGCAGAGATCCTGCAAGAAGGTTCGAGAATGACTTCTCCTGGATAAAAGTATATAGAGTCCGCGAGTTGAGCCAGTCTGAGGTTTGAGCTTTATTGTGAGCTAGAAGTGGCGTGCAGCGTTCGTGGCCAATCAGTGCATGGCTGCTGTGAACGGTAAGTAGTGAGTTGCGTATTGTCAGGCCCAAATTAATTAATGCAAGAAGAAAATAGTGCAGTGGCGTAGAGTACGCAGTAACTAAAAATAACTGCTCTGGCGAGGACCAGAAGCAGTTGTAAAATACAGACCACCATTTCGTCAGAGAGCCCCCCCCCCCATATCCACAAACCCGAAACTGTCGGACAGTAACAGAAATATAGTCTTGGGCACCAGATGGGGCTTGACACCAAGATGGACTGGTCGAATGACCATTGGTCGTAACATAACTTTGATTTTTGATTTTGAAGCCAGGCAGTCCAACTGGAGTCTGATTCGAGAGTCTAGAAAGAATCTGCAGGTAGACAGACGAGTCCGAGTCTGAGGCTGTTGTGAGACAGTCGCCCCTGGTGGAGGCGTGGGAGGCGGAAGAGCCTCCAATGTTGTAAGCTGTTGCGTAGCAACGCCGAGTTAGTTGTGAGACAGTCGCTGGCCAGTAAGAACATGAATATGGAAACTGAGAGAGCTACGGAGTTGGAAGCCGTTACCTGACAACCAGTGAACACACAGCAGACTGAGAAAACTTAGTGCGTCCTGTAGTGAATTGTACAGCATGTGAATTATCGATAGCGATGTAGTTACCTGTAGTTACGATCTGCAAGTGTTCAATAAATCCAATTATCAATCCAAACACTGTCTATGATCATTTATCACGTGATAATATCTAATGAGAAATGAGACCAACTCCATGGGGCAGGGTCCATCTTGAGAAGCTGATATATGTAGCACCTCTGTTATTCAAAAAATTCCGCGACTTTTATGAAATCTGAGGATTCATTACCTAATCACAACAGTCGCCGACTGGATCACTCAGTAACCAGATAAATTCAGTCCACGACCTTATACGTTTCTTCTGTAAGATTAATATTATTACTGTCTACATACATACTTCTAGGTTTCAAAAATAGTCTCTTGCCTTCAGATTTTCTGATTGCATTTCTGAGAACATTTCTCAAAACCTCGATCCATGCTACGTTCTGCATCCATCCAATTCTCCTTAATTTCAGTATTGTAATATTTGGCTAAGAGTACACATTGGCCGGTCACGGTAGCCGAGCGGTCTAAGGCATGTACTGTCTTCGCTCGCTCGGAAGCCGGGATCGTGGGTTCGAATCCCACTTAGGGCATGGATGTTTAGTTTGTGTGTGTGCGTTTTTCTGTGTTTGTGTACAGGTAGAGGCCTTGCGACGAGCTGATCACCCGCCCAAGGAGTCCTACCGTATGTCTAAGATCTAGTAAAACCGAAGTGAAACGGAGAGTTTCATGGAGGTAGGCCTAGGCCCAAATGAGGGCTGTTGCGCCAATGAAAAAAAAAAAGTACACATTATAAAGCATCTCTTCACGAAATCTAGTCTTACGCTTCTATTCCTTCCCCCGTCACGGGTCAAAATATTCTCCTTAGGATCCTTTCTGAAACAATCAGTCTGTGTTCTTACCGTGAGAAGAGATGCTATACAGATTTCCATGTGAACCATAGCCAACTTTCTTAACGAAAGGACAACCCTACATCTCCGACCTGCACGCACTGTCAACGAACTCGACGCACAAATTTAAATTAAATTGCAAGGAGGTATGTTAAATGTACCTTTAGTTCGTGCCATAGCTCAGGTGGTTTTTTTATTGCTAGTGGGGTGGGACTAAGTCCCTTGTACTGCGGCCACTTCTGGCCTATTGTACCAGCCACAGATGAAAGGTAAGGGTGGTTGTGGAGCAATTGGTGGAATGAAGATTGGCAGGGGAAACCGAAGTACTCGGAGAAAACCTGCCCCAACGCCACTTTGTCCACCACAAATCCCACTTGACCAGACCCGGGATTGAACCAGGACCGCCGCGGTGGGGAGCCAGCGACTAACCGCTTGAGCAATACGCGGCCTCAATAGCTCATGTGGTTAGTCGCCCGCTTGCTACCGCTGCCGCCCTGGCTCGTTTCCGGGTCAGAGCATATCGAATTTGTTGTAAACAGAGTGGCACTGGGGCAGGTTTCTTCCAACTACTTCGGATCTCATGCAAAATTCTCATTCCACCAATTGCTCCACTCTATTCATCACAGTCATCACCGTCATCACCAGGGCCCGAATTTTGATGACATGTCATCTTTTTTTCCTTGTATCCTATGAGATGCTCTTAAATATAAAATCTCGGATATGAGCTGCTGGTTACAGAAATGTAAATTTTATAGGTTTTTTTGTAATTTTTTTTATATTCTTAGGTTTAAGGTCATTTTTTCATTTGGGGGGGTAATTTTTTGGTAAATTTTTGGACTTTTAATGGTATTTCTTGTGATTTTTGGCCATTTTAGGGAATTTTTCTTCATATGTTTTCTGAAATGTGAATAACATGGAAGCGAAGTGTTCTTTCTTTTCTCCTTTAGTTAATTTTTTCTGAATTTTTTCGATCATTTTATAGGTAATTTTTTAAATATTTTCAGGTCATCAAAATCCGGGCCCTGCATATTACATTTTTGGGTCATATTTTAGGTCATTTTAATGGATTTTTTCTTTCATTTTATAGGTCATCAAAATCCGGGCCCTGGTCATCACCATTCGGGGCTGTTACAGTAGGACCATTAGTGGCCTGCTCGCCCAGTAGAATCAGTCTCACCGTGCCCCAGGAATGAAAAAAGACGTATGTCGACTTATTGCTAGTTTGCCACTGTTAACTTGGAATATTTGACGTTTTCCTTTATATAACACTGAACGTTGTTGTGTTTCTTCGCTGCCTTGTTGATTATACGTATCTTACGAGAATGTTGGGGGACTACAGGACTCGTAAAAATAAAGGAATATGATAGGTTAACCTTATTTTCGATGGAACGCCTGTTTACTCTGGTTACACTTTTCGGACTAACTAACCGAATTCAAATAAGCTCGGTAAGAAGGACATGGCGTTCTAAAAGATTCCCAAGCCGGTCACGGTAGCCGAGGGGTCTAAGGCATGCACTGTCTTCGCTCGCTCGGAATCCGGGATCGTGGGTTCGAATCCCACTCAGGGCATGGATGTTTAGTTTGTTTGTGTGCGTTTTTCTGTGTTTGTCTACAGGTAGAGGCCTTGCGACGAGCTGATAACTCGCCCAAGGAGTCCTACCGAATGTGTAAGATCTAGTAAACCGAAGTGAAACGGAGAGTTTCGTGGAGGTAGGCCTAGGCCCAAATGTACTGCTGTATATGTTAATAAATAATTTTTGCGTTGACGGTTGAATCTGTATATGTTGATTGTATACACGCAGCTTTAAACTTTAAAAATAGAACGATGTGTATATGACACACGAAAGTGAAAGTCGAATAAAATAAAAGAAATTAATTATGTTCATTGGTTGCATCCTGTTGCGTGTCTCAGACAATATATAATATTGTGACGTATTTGCGATATGAAGGACACCCCCCCTCCAGCGGTGACGTAACAGCATCGGAGAAACTGCCGCTGCTACGGTAACAGGCCAGTAAACACTCCGCCCCTTCCGGCGGTGACGTAACTGCATCAAAACAATTGCCGCTGCTACGGTAACAGGTCAGTCAACACTCCGTAGCAGCGGCAGTTGCTCCGATGCTGTTACGTCACCGCTGGAAGGGGGGGTGTCCTTTATAGCGTAAATATGTCACAATATGTAGGAATTATGCTACCGTCAACACAACAAATATTTCAATATTACATTTAGATTTTTATTTTCTGCGAAATGTTTCGGGCATACATGAACATCATCAGGCAGGAATACGTATAGTTATTGAAATACCGATACGGATCCTTATCGGTGCAACGCGTCGTATTAAATATTAACATAAGAACTCTGCCTCAGATTAATGTATAGTTAAAACAGCAAATATATGATGAATAAAAAACAAAGATAACAATAAAAGATAAAAGAAAGAATAAAGGCATGTCGCAGTAAAATGTTGAAATATTATTAAAACGTATTAAAGGTATGTTAGAAGTATATAAAAGGTATTTAAAAAATATGTGTGGGGTTAGGGGTCTGTATGCCAACTAAAATATTATTTAAGCGGATATCCTGCTGCAGTGTAGAATTGGGCGTGTATGTTGCCTGGGTCTTGTTGCAGAGAATTCTACATAATAAGCCCGGTATGTGAGGCCCAAAGACAAGCTTTCAATGATGTACAAGTTTGATGGTATGTGGGTATTTGGTATGGTATTCCCATGCTGTGTATCCTATACATAAAACTTTGCAATGTGACGTATGTTTCTTATCTGGGCGTATATGCATTCGGTGTGTACGGTGTGTTCTACACTCTGCGGTGGTTTTACGTAGATTCCATAACTATACGTATTCCTGCCTGATGATGGTCATGTATGACCGAAACATGTCGCAGAAAATAAAGATCTAAATGTAATAATTGCAATATTTATTGTGTTGACAGTAGCATAGTTCCTACATATTATAAAAAGAAATGAACTCTGTTAATTATACTTGCGATTTATGAGTGAAATATATCAGCCTCTGTCATGAAACAGTTATTTGACAATGCAGGGGAAATGCCACAGGACTATGTTCTACTTCTTGGTCCAGCATCCGGTCTTTCGGAATTTGATTTGGGATCAAGTACAGAATATGATAAGAAAAACCGAGGTCTCTTGTAACAAAATGCATGTCTAGGAAATCTCAAAATTCATTTAGAACGCACAACGAATCCCCACGGCCGTTATTTCGGTTTTATAGACCGGACTCGCTATTGACTTGAAATAGCTCTTCAGTTATCCGCATGAGGCTGAGTGGACTCCGTTCCAGACCCACAACTTCTCAGAAAATCTGGTAGCGCCGGGAATCGAATCCGGACCTCTGGCTCTATAGCCAGGAACTCTGACCACTAGACCACAGAGGCGTTCCCCTCCATCTTCATGCAAGAAACAAATCAAGGACCACTTAACGGATGATCATTAAACTTGATATTTGTGAGTTGTAATAAAACTAAAAGCAAATAAAAACCATTCAAATTTGTATTAAAATCGGACAAAAACGGCAGGCGGTTTATGTGGAGACCTGCATGCACTTCTTTGCATATGTAAAGTATCATCTTCATCACTGGCACGACAGCCCTTTGTGAGCCCTGGCCTTCCTCAGGATTGCTCGCCATTCTTCTCCATTCGATGCTACATTCCTCCAGTTCTTTACACCCAAAATTCTTATGTCCTGCCACACATATTCTTCCCATCTTAAGCTTGGTCTTCCCACTCTCCTATTTCCTTCAGGATGTAAAGTATAAGTAGCTAAATAATTTTATATTTTAGCGTCCTGTTGCACTGATTTATGTTCATGATTTATTCTGACCGTCTTACATTGCATACATTTATTCACTCTGTACATCGAAAAGCACCTGAAGATGGCACTTTTGTGCTGAAACATGTAGTGCAAGAGAGAAGAGTAAGGTGAATAAATGTATGCACTGTAAGACGGTCAGAATAAATCATGAAGCTAAATAATTGTTGAAACAGAAAACGTTTTGAACAAAAGTTGTAGATAAAATGAAACATACATTTTATGCTGGAAACTCTTGTAGTTTCACGTTATGCTTTTACAGTCTTTCTTAGTGGGGAAGTAACAATGCCTTCCATGTAGTTAGTACACAGCCATATGTTCCAAACTTCAGTAAGTTAACAATCTTCTCAGCTTCAGGGAGGGCACTTGCTTCGATGATGACTGTGCACAGTGACATTCTCCTCAACCTTTTGAATTTTACTTCTCACGGAACATTACATCAAAAAGACATATTCCAACCGTATTAAAAACAAGAATATATCTTCATATTATATTAATGATTAATCCTATGAACTTAAAGATTGTAACATTCTTTTATATTTTATTTTTGTAATTATATAAAGGCAATACAGCTCTGTTAGTACAAATACAGTTACAGTGCAGCATTAGTAAGAAGATTTTGTATACAATGTCGGGACACTTTTTGTTTAACAATTACTTTTATTATTTTTGAGACTTCATGCCCCACCCAGCAGACTGTCAAGTCTCACCCATCCTATTGGTTGAGAAACACTGCACTAGAGTAACCTTTGAAAATAAGTACTGCAATCTGAATTACCATACTTATGAGTAAAGTTGGTAATGAAAACTCTATTTTGATTTTAGCAAAATTTTTTCACCTGTAGTAGGGTACTTGTTCAGCATTAAAGTATTTTATGTAATTATGCCTTAAATGGGTTATATCTTTCAGGTCCAACGTTAAAATGTTTGCAAGGAAAAGAAGAGAAACAAATTACCTAAAAAGAATGATATGCCAAAAGCAAGAGAACGATACACGAAACTCCAAGCCAGCAGATGGCATGAACACCTACAATGCTGAAGCAGAATCAATGGAATCTGATAATTTTAAAGGAGAATTCGAATTTTCCTTGGCCAATATAAAGAACTGGGAAAGTTTTATTAATTTTTTATACAAACCAATGGATCCTGCGTCTCTCGGCTTAGTAAGATTAATGTTTGGTGAGTATGACACAGTATTATTTAGAAGTGATGGCTCATCTTCAGGGGCTCTTTGTATATGTAAACTAGAAAGTATCAATTAAATTTCATGTGGGAATAATTAGATAGCATTAATAAATATGTAAATGTAGGCAACATTGACTGAGCATTCATGTTGACCATGCTAGCCCACCTGAAACTCCAAACTCCAAATAATAAAATAAATATTATTACTTTCATGGTTCAGTGATACTCCACATACTGGCAGAGAAGTGATCAGATAATGCATCTTCTGCTACCTCCGGTGAGCCCTTTATGAGCACTGTAAGCCAGCACATTCATGTGTACACTAACAGTTTGTGAGCACAGGTATGGTTAGATGAGACATGATATAGTGTAGACATGAGGGAGAAGAAAATGCATGGCATTCCAAACTACCATGTTAGCCAAGCAAGGAAAGTTAACACACTTCAGTTGGTTGGTGCTTGCAGAGTACAGAATTGCAAATGTACTCTTCTTCCAGCAACTGGCCTGTTAAAGCAATGTGCACTATTGCAGTGAAGCTGCTGATGAAATTCACTCTGCCTCACTAGTTCTCCTTGTGTTGTTTTAAAATGTGTGTATCTTTCTAATATTTCAGGTTTCATGATGGTATTGGATATCCCAGAAGAAAGAGGCTTGGCAGATGCAGATATAAACTGGGGAGATCCAAATGAATGTAGATTTCCATTATTTGATTTTCTACAGCCTTTGCCACTTCAGTGGATGTGTATTGTATACCTCATAATGTGGATAGGTACCTTCAGTCATATTAAATTTCCAGTTGCCAGTGAACATGTATTGCATATGTAATGATGTGTCTGTTTTAAAACCATGGGCTGAGTGATATATTCATTTGAAATATAATTATAAATGTGAAAATATGAAAATTCTCAGTGATCCTACAGTAATGAATTAGAAATACTAATGTAAGGCAGAATACAGAGACCCATTAATTTACATGTAATGTATCTTTTCTTAATGAAACTAGTCAAACAGAACAGTCATATTCCATACAGTTTTTAATAACAAATATGAACATATTTCTAACAACATTACATATTTCTTTTGAAGGTGCATTCGGGATCATGATTGGGTTCTTTTACCATGCAAGTTGCCTTGCATTTATAGTTCCTTATTGGTATATCTTCCTCTTGGACAAAACTTCCTGGAATAACCATTCATATTTATATGGGATAATATCTATATTGCTATTAGGCTCACAAGCTAATCGATATGCGTAAGTACCAGCACTTTGTAGCATATGCATGTATGTGGATTCACTAACCCTCTCCCTGTTGTGGATGGCACAGTTTCAATATATGGGAAAATAGACTCTGCATTACAAAAAGAAAAGTTCCACCAAGTATGCAGAGTTCAGTAACACAGAAACCACATAGGAAATAGAAGTTTTTCTGTTAAAAAGTTTAGTTCCCTAGGATAAGATGAAAATGAAGAAAATAAGCCATACTGTACCAATTTATAGGTGATTCTTTTTAATAATTAAGTTGTAAAATTCAGTTATCTTATTTGACACTGTTATTGTTTTCTAAGGTTTCAGAAAGTAGGGCCACCTTATTTTTCAGATCATACTATTTTTTTTTATTGTTAGTGGGGGGTTGGGGACTAAGTCCCTTGTACTGCGGCCACATCTGGCCTATTGTACCAGCCCCAGATGATAGGTGAGAGTGATTGTGGAGCAATTGGTGAAATGAAGATTGGCTGGGGAAACCGAAGTACTTGGAGAAAACCTGCCCCAGCGCCACTTTGTCCACCACAAATCCCACTTGGCCAGACCCGGGATCGAACACGGGCTGCCACGGTGGGAAGCGAGCAACTAACTGCTTGAGCTATGGCGCGGCCTTAGATCACACTATAATGTGACCAATATTATTAATTTCTGTGTGAAAAGAGAAACTGTTATTTTGATGTAAACATTCTGACAGTCTGGTGAATAATAGCCCGATCACAGCTGGCTGACACTTTTTTTTCCATCACAGGAAGCAATGGTTTGCATGTACTCACTGTCAGACTGCTCAAACATTGTGATTTTATAAATAGAAAATTTTAGTAAACCAAAATTATATCGATTTGTGCCCATGTCCCTTACCCCTGACCCCTGTACATTGAAATATATCTATTGTTTTGTTATGTATTTCCAGAATCCTTGATATTCTCTTTGGGAAGGTAAAACGTAACAGTCCTGTACCTCTATGGAATTATTTTATTCTACGATTTCAAATTTTTGTCTTATATTTCTTTGCTGGATTAAAAAAGATGGATCGAGATTGGCTAGATGGATACTCAATGCAGAACCTCAGCAATCATTGGATATTTGATCCATTTAAGTAAGTAACACATTAATTACTTGGAACCTATGTGCGCAGAGGTCTAGTAGAGCCCATTTGTTTCATTTAATCAAAATTTATATTAAAATCACAGTAAAGTTGCACAAACTGTTAGTTTGCAGCAAACATTTCTCATTTTATTGTCATTCTTGATCCAGCAAAATGGAGTAATTCATCTGAGAAAGAACTCCCATGAGGTTGATCCTGCTAATTTAAATGGTAGATTTATATTCAGTAGAAGGAATGTACAATTTAATGTAAGCTCTTAAATCAACCATACAAACAACAATTCCCTAATTTCCTATAACCGATACTACTCTTACTATATGGATATAAAATATACAGCTATGGTCTGACAACATGGCCCTTTTGTTTGACTAATAATTAAAGGTTAGAGGTTTCAGATGTTTGCTGTAATATTTAACTCCAATCTATGACTTTTGTTGGTCACAATCCCTTACATTTAATTCTCTGAAAATAAAATGTTAATTAAAGTTTGAAATACCCCTGCTTATACAAATGTGTAATAGCCAAACAGAAATATACGACACTGTAACGGTCTACTCTAATGAATAATCACCTAATAATGTTGTTCTTTGAGTAACTTCTAACATTTGATTTACATGTTTCCATTTTGTAGAGTTTTACTGACATCAGAACAGGTGGATTTTTGGATAATTCACTTAAATGGCTTTGCCCTTGACTTCAGTATTGGATTTTTCCTGATTTACAACAGAACACGGCCATATGCTTTATGTGTTTTATGTTTGTTTCATATCACGAATTCACGACTATTTACTATCGGTAAGTAGCATAAGTGGCATGCACTGTCTTCGCTCGCTCGGAACCCAGGATCATGGGTTCGAATCCCACTTAGGGCATGGATGTTTGTGTGCGTTTTTCTGTGTTTGTGTACAGGTAGAGGCCTTGCGACGAGATGATCACCCGCCCAATGGGTCCTACCGCATGTGTAAGATCTAGTAAACCGAAGTGAAACGGAGTTTCATGGAGGTAGTCCTAGGCCCAAATGAGGGCTGTAGCGCCAATGAAAAAAAAAGTAGCATAAGTTATTAATTCACAATTAATAAATTAAATTATCCAACTTGAGGGCCAAATATTTATGTTAGTTAACTGTTTTATTTTATGATACCTTCGTTAATAATTTTTTAATATTTCAGTAATGCATGTAATACAGATTTTCTTCATCTAATTGTCATGTTTTATAGTAACCAGGAAGAGCAAACACATTAGTAAATTCACTTCTTGAGTTCATATAAACTCAGTGCATACACTTAAAGGTGTATTTAAAATGCCAATAATCTTCTTTCCTAGCAGTATTAATCTAAGACTTCTTAAGTTCTTTTTCCTGTTAAGGTAAATTTTTCTGTTAAATCTCTGTTGATAATGCTTTAATTGTGACAACCCAGGAATAAAAAGTACTCACTTTATTATACCTCATGTGTACAATAATTCTTTGATTATGAAACAGACTGGATGTTTGGGTTTAAGGGTTTACATTCTTGATAGTATTATTAGATGGTGATTATTCTTAAGATTCATGGAATCAACCATTTGGGGAAAATGTAATGAAATTTCCAAACTGACAGTTAAATCAATGTGTCTGACCTGCGATATTAATACATAATTTTATTTCTTCATATTATCTGCACAGTATTAATTCAGAGATTTCAAAATAAATGCCTCAAATGGAAAATGAACTGTCTATATTTCCATTATGTAACTTATCTTGACCATGAAAGGCACTGTTTTCTGAGATTTGATGCCATTTAGTTCAGTAGTGTATACTGACGTTTCAGAGGAACATATTGCTTCCATCTTTGTGGTTGAAGACTAAGGAGCAAGTTCCTTTGAGCTGATGAACTGTTACTGGATTGTACGATTTGAGATTTTCACGGCAGTGACTATGAACAATGCCATCTTCTTGGATGTGGCGCCGCGTAGATAATGTGTTATCCGACGTTTCGGAGGGACGTATCGCCTCCATCTTCAGGGTATAAAAATCCACGAGCGAAGAACCAGCGTGAGCAGGTGGCTGCAGACTTAAGTCCCCAGTCAAAAACACCCAACTACATAAGAACAGGAAGGGAGAAAGAAGGGGCCATATGGGAAATCAATAGAGAGGGGAGGAGAAGGATCTGTGGACGTGGACATGGACCAGCTGGTAGCAGGCTAGAGCAGGTATAGGATCATGCTGGGGGGAAAAGAGGCAGGGTTACTGGGAGAGCATTGACCCAATAGCCTTGGGGCTAAGCTGCCAAGCTACACAGGTTGATGCTTGCTCCGCAGCTGCTCTGGCCTGCTACCTGCTGGCCCATTTCCACAGATTCTTCCCCTCTCCTCTCTATTGATTTCGCATGTGGCCCACTCTCCCTCCCTTCCTGTTCTTATAATGCTGGGTGTTTTCGACTGGCGACTCAGTCTGCAACCACCTGCTCATGCTGGCTCCTAGCTCACTGATTTTTATACCCTGAAGATGGAGGTGATATCTTCCTATGAAACATCGGATTACACAATATCTATACAGTGCCACATCCCAGAAGACGGCATTCTTCTTACTGGATTATATGAGGGCAGCCCATTCCAGAAGGTAGTACTTTTCATAGTCACTGCTGTGAGAATCTAAAGTTCTACATATTTTGACATTGATCTGAAGATTTTTCACAGCTGTACAAGTAGGTAACACCACTGAAGGGCAGACAGTTTACAATCATCAAAATATTCAGAATGGTTTACCTGTTAAAAACTTCTTTACAAGGAGGACTTAAACTGTTCATTACACCTTGAGTAGGCAATTTCTCGCTTATTTATTGCTGTCTTCATATATTAACAAATGGTTGGTCTTACAAATACATGTACTTAATTTTGGCCACTCCTCCATTGATCAGTTAGAAGCAATGTTTCTGTATATCTCTGTAAAGCTGATATATACTGGTGCAGGATGTGCATTTGGTTTGAGGAGAACTGAATCTAGAAAGAACCTCAAGTACCACTTGAAATCTATGGCTGGCCAGTGATAACATTATTTATAATGGTATTAGTGATCTACTACAGCCATATCCAAGGGATGATAAGAAACTAAAAACAGTGAGTTTAAAAAATGTCTATCCTTTCATTTTCTTTGTAGTAAACTTATTGGTATACATGAAAAGGGCAAAGTTGTCTCTGTACTTAACTAATTAATAACTACACCATGAAGTCATATAGATGAGTGCATGTGTAGATCCACGGTTTCTTTACCTTGGAACTAGTTGGAGGTGAGTGGTCAGCGTCACGTCCCGGCCACTTTACCCCCGTTGAAGCAGCCCCCAGTACCCAAATGGAGAAGAGAAAATTCTTGACCCTGCCAGGACCCAAACCCCAGCCTCTCAGTTGTCCAGTCCATTGTCAGTCACTATACTGACTGCACTATCCCAGCTCTTTATATTGGTATATGTTGGCCACAGAACTAATTACAACAACTGTATTTCATGAACCCAGATGTAGGGTCCTATTTACTCATCATAAAATATGTGTGATTATATTGTAAAATTACTTGATTTGCTTACAGGAATGTTCCCTTATGTCTGCTTAGCAACGATGCCTATTTTTTGTGATGCAAATTGGCCACGAAAAGTTCTTAAAATATTTTCAGCATCAAAATCAGCTGTTAAGGATAATGATCAGGACAAGAAATGTACAACATCCCTACTGCCTGCAGAGGCCAATAGAGCTAGTAAGTTCAGAATTAAAATGGGCATTAATTTCATACTGAATCCTGAATACAGTGTGATGAAAACTGTTCTTCATCCAGTATTCTTTTGGTGATTATTACACTGTTTGTCATAACTGCTTCTGCTGGAATTTTATTTACAGAACAGAAGGTTAAGAAATTAAAAGGAGCTCCTACCTACACATTAAAAATTGGCTGGAAGCACAAAGTGGTTGGATTCCTGCTGATCAGCCACATTGGTCTGCAAGCTTTCCTACCATACTCTCACTTTATTACCAAGGTATCGTGTCAGTATATTCGACTCCAGATCTTCTTAAATTGAAATATGTAATTAGTCAGAATTGAAAGATAATGCTTGTAATGCGAAGACTTTCAAATACGAGTACAGCATAGATAGATTGAACATAATATAATTACTGGAATTAGCATATATGAAAAATAAATGCAATATATGAGAACTCTTATACTGCAAGTTCTCACTAGTATGTCACACATATGTCTCTGTACAGAAAGAGTTGTTTCGATGCTAGTCTGAAGATGGTGAATTTTGATCAGAATGCATTATGACTTTAATACTTGTAACAGAATATTTTTTCTATAAGCAATAAAGCAGCCATAAACAGAATCAATGCCATTTTCAAAATCTAAAAATAGGCAGGAAGATAATTAAACAAATTCTGAAGGAAATGTCTGTGAATATATTGTGACATGCTATGTGACGTCCATTGCTGCACAACGGCTGCAGTGGGAATGCATACTTCCACGACAACGAATACATTGTGACATGTGGAAGTATGTGTTCCCATTGCAGCTGTTGCACCGCGATGGACGTCATATAGCACATCACAATATTAATGGTTTCGATTCTTCTAACTCAGAATAACATTTAATGACAAGAATTTAGTATGTGAAGGTAAACTGTTTGGGTGTATAATGGTGTTCTATCACGTGTGAAGATTTATGTACTACCGAATATATGTTAAGTGTTTATATATGGTAAAACAGGAAAGGTATATAAGTGGCCATGACTAGTTCTGGTGCTCACTGATCTGAAATACACACAGCCTATTTACTTTGTCTTTTTCAAAATGTGTACTACCAGTAAGGTCAATAATATTGTTCATACCATTTGAAAAGTTACGGCTGTAGGTTATGTCACTGTGGATCTGATTGACTCAGAATAATGCTGTATGTTGTGTTGGTAGTTTTGATTTAAGAGCACAGGATTAATTCACAAATTAAAATCATTGCTGCTAAATTCCATGATAAGTTATGTTTATAGCAAGAGCAAATGTCATTCATACATGCATATACGTGCATGTGGTAGAGTCATTAAGTTCGTGGAATGTGGGTTTATCGCATCATATTACAAGATATTCACATACACTTACACATCGGCCCTCAAAATAGTTTCCATTGGCCGCTATGCAAGTCTGCCAACGTTGATACTACTGTCGAAAACATTGCTGAAACATATTGGCAATAAATTCCCGTACAACGCTTTGCGGCCATTCAATGAACTTACTGACTGTGGTAGTATGCACAGCATCATTTATTTTAAAATAACTTGTAATTAGTGGGGATTTAAATATATGTCATAACATACTACTTGTGAAAGATGCTTAATGTCTGCTGTTCCTTCATGGCAGGGATACAACAATTGGACCAATGGTCTGTATGGCTATTCCTGGGATATGATGGTTCACACCTGGGATACGGTGATGGCAGTTGTCAAAGTTGTGGATCATGAAACAGGGCAGGAACATTTCCTAGATCCAGAGGTACCTGACTGTAAAGATACTTTTCTATACACTCAGCTTTTAAACTTCTCAAAAATTGTCAGCTTGTTTATTATCTAAGTAGACCAAAAAGAGATTAAATCATAATTAACTTTATGTAATTATTACTCAGTTACATACATACACGAACATCTTTGCAAACAATACAGACCTGTTATCAATTTGTTTTCTACATTTTATGGACATCGAAACCACTCTTATTTATTAGTGCAATTTATGTCTTGCACGGCTAAGAATATTTTCCAGATAAATGTAAAAAGGCAAAATTTATATAATTTTTTAAAATCTGATTATTACATAAAATGTATACATAATAAAACATAGGCTTATGCTCCATAAAGATTGTATACACATTCTTTACACCATCTTATGTTTTTGTGAGTATTTAATGCTATAAACAGGAAAGTCTGCTTAGGCACACATGTAAAATGCCAGCCCAGAATTTTCATGTATGGGTCAAAATTATAATTTCTAGCAGAGGATTTATGCTCTACATTTTTGCTTCAGTAATGATTTCTGCTCGTAAAAGAATGCTTTTGTAAGTGAAGACTCTTTACTGCATAGATTTTTGCTTACAGTTGTAAGAGTTAATGTGTAATTTGATTACAGATTTAATTGAAGTTATATATATATGTATTCAATTTAAGCACAACAGACCTCTGTAGGTCGCAGTGCAAGGGCCGAGAAGGCCTACCCCTCATACATGTATTAAATTTCTTCACTGCATAGCAGACTTTTAATTATAGAAGAGTGAAAGAAAATATGCAGAGAATTTGTAATGAAGTGCAAAATTACTGGTATCTGAACACCAGAAAACGTTTTGTAAAAGTAAGATTGCAGTAATTTCTGCTGTATGACTCAGTTCTCTCCAGTGCCTAGGAATACTAAATCCTCATGTTGTGTTCAACTGTCACATTAATTGTGGAGTTCAGATGTAAATTATGATGACATATTCTAAGAATACGACCTACTATGAATTAGATATTATTTGTGACAGTATGAGGCAAAACACAGTTTTAGAAAATGTTTTGGTCTTAGGATACTTGACACAGAGCTATTCATAATTTAATTATTTCAATTCACATCTATTTGTTCAATGTCCACTATAAAATTTTCCTAGTTGTCCATCAGCTATAAAAGTTGGATATCCCACCTTTGTCATATCATTAGTAATCCATATAATGAAGAGGTCATGGAAAGACAGTCTACTAATTCTAAAGATAAAGATACAGTTTCCCCTGTGTTTGATGAAGCACCACTTGATGAAGATGTATGGAGTAGTGAAGATATAACTCCATGCTTATATGAACTTGTCACTAGATGTCTAACTGCAGAAAAGCGAAAAAAGGAAAAAATAAAATAAATTCTTTTCTGTTCAAGTTTAAACACTGAAAGTGAGCAAATAAGTATTATACACAATCCTTTAAGAAGACACAATTTAAAGCCCAATTTTAATTTTCCAGGCTTGGGTTCAAACAGATCGCTGGGAGAAGCACGCAGACATGTTAATTCAGTATGCCCAGTGCCTCAAAAGTAACTTACTAAATGGAGTAAGCACAAATGATTATAGGCTTAGTAAAAATATATCAATCTATGTTGACATATGGTGCTCGTTAAATGGTCGTTTCCAGCAACGTATGTTTGATCCAAGAGTGGATTTACTAACGGCTGATTGGTCACCTATTAAAGAAGTGTCATGGCTGATGCCATTGCTGACTGAATTTAGCTCATGGAGAAAACAGATTACGAAACTAGAGAAGGAAATTTACTCATGGTCAGAATATAGTGATGTCATATTTGTAGCTGATTTTCCAGGTGAGTAAACATCAACGATAGTATTATTACATAGGCTCTTCATTTCATGAAATTGATGTGCTCTTTGAGAACTATTTTTAAGTGAAATTTGTTAAAAAAAACGTAATTTCACATTAATTGTAAAATATAGAGATTTGACATAATAGAAATATACATAAGTACTGATAATAGTAAAGGCAGCTTAAAAAGCTTTTTTATTATAATGAGCAGCAATTGATTTCAGATGAACTGAATTAATTAAAATAAACAAAATTGTTTACATTTAATGATGTCCATCAGTGGAGTACGCCTTATTTAATAATGCAAATACAGTTTGGCAAGTATATATAACTGTGTGTGTGTGTGTGTGTGTGTACGTGCATGCACATGTCTATCGCATAACAGTTTTGGCATATTCACTCTCTTATTGTCCCTAGAATCTCAGTTTTCTAATGTCAGTTTTTGATACTTCCTTACAAACAATGTAAAATTGCCAAGTTCAAGCAACTGTGGCTAAAAAATGTTTGTTTCTGACAAGAAGCTGAAAAACTGAGAATATGACCACCAATTTTATAATATTTTAACAAATCATCATATTTAATCCATAGCCCAGCCCAAGTTTCACCCATGGACAGAACTGAGACAAACCCTTGTATATGTTAATTTCATATTGTTAAAAAACTATGTACTATCTCACAAAATTGTAGTTTTGCCTGATATTTTATATGGATACAGTCTTACCCTTTGAAGGAAGAACATAGATTATGGATGTATGGGAATAGACTGCTGAGAACACTTAGACTGAAGAGAGAGGAGGTAACAGAAAGCAGGAGGAAATAGCAAAAAGCTTCACAATTTGTACCCTTCACAGGCTAAAATTAAGGTGATGACTAAATCAAGGATGATGAGCTGGATGAGACATATGACACATATGAGGGAGATGGGACACGAACACAAAATTGTAGTCAGAAACGTGGAGAATTTCAAGACATATACAAGTAATTTGTTACTTAAAAATAGTAATTCTTTTCCATTTTCAGATCTGACTCTTGAAAACTACATAAGTGAAGATCTAACTAATATAACCCTGACAGTTTTGGAAGGTGATGTAATTGTTGAAATAGGAGAAAATGAAACTGTTCAACCAATGAGGAAAGCAAAAGAAAAAATATCATGGCATAGAATTACAAAGGACGAATCTGTAGGTATTCCAGCTAGAACATTTCACAGGGTTCACACAGTGTCTATGACTCCAGCTTGCTACATGTACACCTATGTCAATCACACAAGACAACTACAAGATCAAAAAGAAAATGGGAACACTCAAAATGCAGAAGTGGGTCAGAAGAATAAAGGACTGTGGAATGAATTTATGCTTCGATTGCAGAACATAGCAAGGGCAATTGGACTAGTCAGCAACGCAATACTTAACGTTTTGTATTCTGTCCCGATGATTAAAAGAGTTCAAGTGGTATAATGCTGCAATTATTTAACATAGTCTTTGTATGTGAAAAATTTTATCAAGTGACGAAGATTTCAAGCAAAAGATATTTAGGAAATTTTATAGTTGAATGATTTAAACATTCCATAAGAAAGAGATACTGGTAAATACAATGGTCTGCTGCTGTGCCAGATTTACATAAAAGCTAAAAAGCTACAGCTTAGGGCCTCACAACCTGAAGGGGCCTTAAAATACTGAAAGTAAAAATCACCCCAAGACTATGCAGCACTGTCTTGTAAAACTTGGATGACAATAAATGTCCAACTGCATCTTATCAGATTAGAATGAAAAAAATATATGCAGAAAAGCTGTGACAAATGAGAGTAGGTGGGGAGACAGAATTTCTCCTTGAGGTCCAGCTGTATAGTTCACGTACATGGACGTACATTTCTTTCTTAGATTTTTGAAAAAGAAATATAGGAGCCTATCTTTATCCTAACTCATGAGATCACAAAATCTTAATCTGGTTTTTCTACACAGAACATATAAATATGCAGTAATACTGTTTTCATAGTTTGTTCGTGTCAGTATTTATATTAAATCATCCAAATGGAAGTTATGTGATACACAGGGCAGTTATTTGAGAGATTAAGATCAGGTCATTCATTGGTATCAACTCAGAGTACAGCTGCTAGGTTATCTTTTAAGTCACAAGTTTTCCTCAGTCCTGCTCAGAACTGACATACCAGACAGGCTCAATATTCCAAGACGGGGGCTAACAGACCAATAACATACAGAAGTATTGATGGAAGGATGCCACCACAATACTGTGAGTAATCTAATTGTCATGTTCCATCTATACAACTCTAAAAATGTATACTCATTCAACTGTTTATTAAAAATCACTACATGTTTCGACCATCCAACTGGTCATCATCAGGTGATACACTTACAAGTGTTTTTGAATTGAAACTATTTTAACTAACACAGTTAGTTTGATCATGCAGCAGGATGCACTCTATAAAGATACTGTAAGTAGTGTGTGACCATTTATCATTTCCAAAATCATAAGATTACTTTGGATGAAATCTGATATGTAAGGTGAGCATTAGGAGCTGCAGAGTGGATGTAACTTTGGATACTGGACAACTGGAATTCATATTCCTTATAAAGTATAATTGTTTTATTTATATTTTAACAATAATATCTTTTAACTTTTGAATGTCATTCATTTTAAAAATATCTGGAAATATGTGAATAACTGTACACTTACATTGAAAACATGAATGGAATATTAAAACGTATTGAAGAAAACATGCATTATATAGAAACATATTTTTTTTGCACATCTACATAAAAATTAAACCTATCTACAAGGGTGACCAATCAGAGAAGTGAAATGCAAAGAACAGGTATGGATACCATGTGTATTGTAAAATGGAGTACACCTCTTTACCCTTTGTTGTCATGTCATTACAGGAAATCTTCAGGGCATCCAGATAATACTGTACCTCATTTTTATTTTTCTGTCAGTATTTCATAAAGGTAAAGTTATCCCTTGGCATAATTAATTAATCACCATGCCATGAAGATGTATGGGGGATGGAGGTACAGCTCATCATTCTTAACTTTGGCACTAGATGCAGATGAGTGGTAAGCATCACACCCCTGCCACTTTACCCACAGGGTAAAGGTTTAATCCTCAGTACCAACTGCACAGGAGGCTGGGTGGGCCCCAGAGCTGGTCTGGATATTATGGAAAAGACAAAAATTCCCTGTTCTTACTTGGAATTGAACTGTCTCCTTGGTCACACAGCCGATAACCCACTCACTATACCAACTGAGCCATGGGCTTGAAAATTGGTTACATTGAGGGTGTTTGAGAAAAGGGTGCTGAAGTGAACGTTTGGACCCAGGAGAGGCAAAGTAACAGAAAACTGGTGAAAGCCATGCATAATGAGGTGCTTCATAAGTTCTACTCTTCATCAATTATTATTAGGGTGATCAAATCAATAGGAGGATATGTAGCACTGAAGATGGGAGGAAACACACAGTTTGAATCAAAATACCTGAAAGGAGGAAACCATTTGGGAGAACTAGATATAAATGGGAGGGTAACATTAAAATCCATTGTAAAGAACTAGGGTATGAGGGCATGGATTGGATTCATCTGGCTCAGAATAGGGACCATTTGTGGGTTCTTGTTAATTTGTTATAAAAACCTACAGGTTTAAAAAAAAAGGCAGGGGATTTCTTGACAAGCTGAGTGACAATTAGCTTCTCAAATAGGTGAGCCAATGTTATATGTACTCTCCTAAAGTCAGTATAATTTGTCTCAAGCAATTAGTTATAGTCTCTGTATCATGGTAATATTTGACTGCTGACTGCTTATATTTAAACAAACACAAATGCATTACAGTGAAGTTCATACAGGATATGAAACAGTGGAAGCTTTTCTAGTCAATGTACATGTATGCATTTTAACTCAATAAATGCAAAGAATCGCAGGTCTCAACGAAATCAATGATTTAGTTAGTGGTCTCATGCATAATCACATCTGCTGATTTCTGTCATTTTTCTTCCCATACACTTCTTTTTCTCTCTGCAGTTATAACCCTTCTTATGTTTCCAACAAAAGGGCTCTGTATAGATAAAAGTAGCTAACAGCAGTAGCACAAAATGTAACTAGACTATTCACTTCTTCCTTTTGGCAGCTCTCCCTAAACAAGAAAATGTATATGGCTATAATTAGAGTTTATAACACAGGTAAATCATTCTGTGGTCATTTATTATTTTGGTTCCAGTGAAAAATGTAATCTCAGCTAGATGAACTGCATATACTTTGTGTCTGTCATAACATGTCAGCTATGAAGGCAGCTTCCTGGCAAGATGATGTGATCAGTTACGCAAGGAATCAGAGTTTGAAAATGGACACTGGTTGAATTTCAAGCACACAAGAAAGTATCCTATGATTCTCTAAGTGATGATTTCCTTTCTATCAGGTCTCACATTTGCACTTGAAAGGATCATGCATCTTTACCCAAGTACACTAAAGTACTGTTAGCCAAAGCAGATATATGTTATTAGTAGGTGGAGGACTGCTGATAACAGAAATGTTCCTTGAAATTGGATCTAAATAGGATGCTTTTAGTCTATTTTACCCAAATAAGGGTTTTTAGCAGAGAGAGCACCTACATGTAGCAAGTAAAAGGGTGAAAAAAAATGGCCCAGAGATGAGTTCCATATTTTATACTCTTCATCACACTATTGGGTTGATCAAGTCAAGGAGAGTGAGATGATGAGTATGTACTCATAGCATGTAAGCAAGATGAGAAATATATACAAAATCTTAAGTCAGAAAACCTTAAGAGATAATACCATTAAGGAGACCCAAGTGTAGATGGATGGATATTTAAGAAACAGGGTGTGAGAATGTGAACTAGATTAATTTACACATGATGTGAATCAGTGGATAGCTCTTGTAAATGAAATGATAAATTAATGGGTACTGGAAAAAGCTGGGCCTGCTTGAATGACAATTAGATTTTGAAGGGCTGCTTCATGGTTTTTTTATTGCTAGTGGGGTGGGACTAAGTCCCTTGTACTGCGGCCACTTCTGGCCTATTGTACCAGCCCAAGATGATAGGTGAGAGTGATTGTGGAGCAATTGGTGAAATGAAGATTGGCAGGGGAAACCGAAGTACTCAGGACTCTTCTTCATGATATGTCACAGTAGCACGTTTTTCACAAAACACAGTATTGTTGAAAGAACAGGATAATGCAGCGAAATAGTAGTGGACAAGAAAGAACTGACATAAAATTCATAAATGACCACTGCCAGTGACATTAACTGCTCTAAATGACAAACGTTACAATATAAAAAGAAAATGGAATATTAGTATCAGTCGCTGAAAAAGGATCATATAATGAAGATACAACCATGCTGTGACTTCCACATATGAAATTCAACACTGTTTTGATTTTAAAAAGGAACCTAGAAAGATACTGTGGGAACCTCCCACAGTATACCGAAAGCAGTCGATATTTATATGCTACAGCTTACAACCTGGCTGTTTGTACTGCCACACAGGCGCTACCCAATCGCCACAGCAGCTCCAACATCTATTTGTAAGCATGCCACCTAGTGGCAAGAGTATAAAGATGATGGCCTCCGACATGCTAGCATCAGTCACATCACTCGTGGCAATCATGGCTATGCTTGCATTCAGAGATCATTGCAGTAGACTCTGCCAGTGACCGCCAGTGCTCCACAGGCCTGCCAGCCAACCAGTCATGCTGCTTACAGCCCGAGCCTTGCTGGTATCCTGCTGGCTCGCAAACATCGGGCTGCTACAAGCAAGCACACTGAGCTTGCTAGTTCACTGCAAGAAACCCTCAGACAAATGGTCCTTTCCAGAGCCTCCAATATCATCATCATCACTAGCCAAGACTAGCCCACTACAAAGGGTGTCTCCACTGGTATTATCTGGACACACTCCCTCTAGTCTGTAATACTCATTCTAAGTGCAATAAACATTTGTTGTTATACTTTTACCTGGTTGTCTCTGCAAGCATCAAAATCACACAATACTATCAATCCCCCTTTCCTCACTTTTTTTCACATCCGAGTACAAACATCTTTATTCACAGATGCAAAAGCACTTAATTTATTTATAATTGATTTCTATTCTAGCTACTAATCATGTATTATACATAACTTATGGTTTAAAGAAGCACGGTATATGCTGTGGGCATAAGAAAAAATAACAGTAAGTACTTGCCCTTTATATGAAGTTTCTCTTATTGCAAAAGCGGTGTTTGATAAAGCAATCTTGTATTATACATTATGCTCTTGTTTGAAACAGAGAACTTACAGAGGTGGTGCATTCGTTTCTGGACAGAAAGCATACAGATGACAAGTTGTTTGAACATATACATCAAATTAGAGATGTAGTAGTTTTAAATCAGAGGAAGGGACAAATAATAATTTGTAATATATAGTCGAAATAAAATCTTTTAAAAGTTTAATGTTTACATTAAACTGAAGATATAGATACACAAAAAGTGTAATTTTATAAAATACTTTTAATTTATTCTAAAAGTTTTTCAGCAAAGCTGCAACTAATACTGTAAACTTAAATGCAGATTAGTAGAGTCAGTTAAATTATATTCTGCTGTATGCCAATAATCTGCAGCACAGAAGATACTGTATGTCTACTACATCTTCATTTCCATTTACATCAAAGAAAACAAAATATGTCTCATCTAAGATACAATTCACTGGTACCTTTAAAAACCTGAAAAGAGGATGTTGCATAGAGAATGTCACTTAAATCTTTCATCATTTTTTGCAAAGTTTCATTTATTCATTTACATCAGACATTACAATAAATATATAATAACAGTAGCACACAACTTCAACATCTTTCAGTCACAATTCTTATTACCTTGTCAATAGTTCAGTGCATATATGTACTGAAGTATACTGAAGGTATATATCATTTTTTGTATTTACAGATACAGTACACCCCAATGTTACAGATGTTCAGATTATGGATATCATAAAAAGACCATAAAATTTTGGACACAGGCCATAAATTCACCCTTAGGTAAATGTGGCGAAATTTTGTATTATTTTAAAAGCAAAACACAAATAAATTCAGTCATCCTCCCAGAAATGATTCTTATGAAATCCAGATCACATGTGTGCATGTGTCAATGACAGAGGGGGGTGGTTCGTAGCATACTGTTATTTTCGCCTTATTTCTGGCTCTGCAATGTGTTACCCTTATTTAAGATGTCTGGGGAAAGGCCATCAGGCCATCAACTTACAGGGCAAGTACCTACCTACTGTTTCTTCTAATGGGCAAAGAAGTGTTGTTTATTATAGCTGTGAGTCAAAAACATTTAAGTAAGAGTCCATCTCAACTTGGGAGTCCAGCATGGGAGGACATGGAAAGATTTGGTGATACGGGATTTCACAATACAAACATATTTTCCAGAACATAATGAGGGGGCATACTGCATACGTTAAAATGTATCTTCAGAAAAACTTTCAAATTTTCAATCATGAACAAAACAACTTTTAAGTACACTATAGTAACAGTGCAATTGGATTGCAAGAAATTAAACATAAACACATTGGGCAAGCATTGCAACAATGATCAAATTAGAGGAGGATCATGGTAACATTTACAACATTATTAATAGTTTAGGACTAATTTATCTTTTAAGATATACTAAGTTCATATTAAACCCAATTCTAGATAAAGGAATTAAAATGTCTGTAAAATAATCACGAAATGAATCAGTACATCCTGAATAATATATTCTAGTATCTTCATTGTTAGAGTAATAAGAAGCAGAAAAATTACAACATGAGGCTATTTCAAAACAAGAGGGATCTATAATATTTCATTATGTTACATTTACTGATTGTGATTACCATCCGTGGTACACATTTAAAACAATTAATACATCTTAAGATATGGAAGACTGCTCAACAACTAACAATCCGTGTCTATAGAAATGTGTATTTATAAAATTTTTCCAAAGCTTAGTACATAAACATTGTGAGCTATGGTACCACTGCAGAAGAGAACCTATCTGCAAGAAGCTGTGCTTGGAAATTTAAAGAATTTGTGTTAACTGGAATAAAAAAAATAATAAAACAACAAAACAGAAGGGGGGAGAATTCTGCTATTAACATTTACAAGCACCCCATGTTATCTGACAATTATTTAACATATTATGTTATCTATATTACACAATGACTATGATTTACGATATCGATTAAAGGTTTCACCTGAAAGATTCATCTTAATATGTAAAGTGTCTACTTGCTTTGCTCTTAGATCAGATCATACGCAAAATTTATAGTTACCGAGAGTTTGTCATTTTCTTATGTCCTTCTAGGCATGTACCCCAATACTAAGATAAAAAGATGTCACATTGTTCTTCCCAGTTCATTGACAATTGTAATTGACAATTGTAACAATGGTCACTTCTACAAACCTTCTGGAAAAAAAAAATGTGGAGTCCACAGAGAGATAAACAGTTATTTGAGTTCTGTATAATTTTCTTAGCATGTCTACACAAGTACATATTGACTCACAGTGACAACTTCATAAAGCAAGAATTTCCATGGGTGTTATAATGTTGTTCATATTAACAGTAAGTTATCTCAGTAGTACTGTTGTTGAAATGGTTAGCTTCCTGTCATTCAAGAAAAACCATACGGTAGTAAATAACAAGTTTAAAATTAAAGTTCACATTTCATAGGTCACTGATTTTTATGGACATAGCACTGATCCTACTTCAGTCCCATTGCACCACTACTGGACAGCTACTGCTTCTTGGTATGTTGAATTTAATGAAGGCACTGTCAGCCACAGAATTTAATATAATACATTTCTGAATATAAATATCTGATTCTTTTTCTTCTTTAACACAATTTTATAAATTGTGAGTATCATACATTATGTTACATTCTAATATTATTAAACACTATTTCTGGAAGGCATATACTGGCACGCAAGGACAGGAGTATGGTTTATGTGGGGGGTTATACACGGCAAACTGAGATACTGAAAGTTAGAGACAAGAGGGCTAAAGTACTTGGCAGTGCTATGGGTAAATACGTTATTATATATAAATTCTAACACTTTCTCTCTAGATAACCTATGCTGAAACCACAATTAGGGATCTCCAACTTCAGGTATTTGGTCTTATAAACATTCAAATTAACAGTCTCTCTAATGACTGAAACTGAAAAATCTGGATGGATAGAAACATACTGATTTATTTCTGGTTAAGTTCAATAATGGAAGCAAAAAATAAAAGACTTTTTATGCATAGAATTCATAAATAATCACTGCCAGTAGCACACACTACAGTCATCATGGTAAAAGTGACTCACTGGATTACTAGTGTTGCACTCCTAACGAGCATGGGCCTTGCAGAAAGGTCGTCCTCCTTTAGCATAAAAGCTTTGGCCTTCTAAGTTCCTCTTGCAATTCTGCACAAATAAAACCCATATGATTACCACACTTACAGCCTTTATATCTATTTAAGTTACAAACAGGATCAAAAGGAAAATGGAGTAACAGGGTGTGAAAATTTGTAAGCTAGAGAAAAGTTTGTGGAACTTGAAATATAAGGAATTGAATAAAAAAGTAAATTAAGTTTTTTTAAGGTTTGGTTAACATATATGAGAATGAATTCCTGTAAAAAAAATATCACGTTCGTGGTCATGGAAGCTGATTAACAAATTAAACTATTTACAGGAAGAAAGATAAATTTCTATGGATTTTTTTCACTGCCATATTATGTCACAACTTACTGTTTATAATGTTGTGAAGTGGAAAGGGAACGAAGGATCAGATTAGGGTCAAGAAGTAAAGGATAAGCATATGTGCAGCACAAAACAACTACTAAAATATCACAATCATGTTGGATCTGTAGATTCCATAGGGTTCTGATGATAGTGTATGACACTCATCATTACTGCTTCTTTTACTCTGTCCATCGTCTGGTATTCTAAAGAACACAACATTTCAGAGACTGGATTTGTTTCCATCCCCAGGTGAGGGGGTGGGAGACACCTACTATCTTGGGTCCATTAGAAAGGGCTAACCTCAATCACTGGACAATCTACATAAGTACAATTACAGCTATATATATGTACACACCTAACATCAGATTTGTCAAAAGGAAAACGCATAATAAAAATAAAAATTAAAAATTTCCTGCTTCTGGTTTCTTGTTCGGCTTATCCTTGACAATAAAGGGTGAAGAAAATATGTTCCTCTGAAATGTCAGACTTCTGAAATACATGGTGTACAATCCAGGAGACTTTACTCCTCATTTTGTAACTTATTTGGTAATATCAGATATGCCTCAAACAATGGAGAATATTCAACATAACCTCATCATTATTTGAGAATACAATCGGTAACTTACAGTACAATTGAAGCATTGGCTATGATAATTGTTGCTGAGAGCCTCTACCCAGCGATCTCCAGCCTCAATAGGGAAACCACAAGCAAAGCATTTAGTTGTGAATAGCTCATTCCAATCTGAAAATAACCAAGCATACCATTAAAGGATACCATCTGGAGAACTCCTTTGACTGTAGATCATGATATCTTGTCCAAACTTAAATTTTATGGTATTACTGAGAACAATCACGCACTTTATGAATCTTATTTAAGTAACAGATATATTAGAACAGTAATACATAAAAGTGATGTGAATACAGTATTCTCAGATTGGCTTATTGTTAGACAGGGAGTGCTGCAAGGGTCTGTATTAGGACCTTTGTTGTTTCTCTTATATATAAATGACTTGCTTAAAATATTAAATAAATTTTCTACACCTATAATATTAGCTGATGATACTAGCATCTTATTTTCATATTCTAATATATAAATGATCTTGACAGGAATATTCTTAGTCGCTCATTCACTTCCTTTATTTTCCATATATCCATACAGGTAAAAAGCCTAGGATGTGGAAATAGTCCCTTTGATAATAGACGTGTCCAGATACATATAATTACATGACTTACATAATTAAAATCACATACATTAGTAAATTAACAAAAATAATAAAATAAAAAACTTAATACAATTTTAATTAATAAATATAATTAAAAAATAACATTACTATAAAACTTAAAATTAATACAATTTCATTTAAATTGCCTAAATTAACTGAATTAAATACATTACAAATTTACACACTTATGACTAATTATCTTTCTTTCTCTCATTTTATTTTTCCATAAATCAAAATATATTGATACAGGACTGGTCATATCGCAATACTATCAGTAGAAAACATATACAGGCAGTTTTACAGGTAAACAACACATATAAATCATGCTTATCAAAACGAAAAATGCATAAAAATCAAGACAAAGATTACATCAACCACACAAAAACCGTATCAGATCAGCAATAAGATTATAAATTATTTGTAAGAAGCAAGGTTTTCCATTATTCTCCAATCTAGATATTCCCGCAATGAGTAAAAGGAGCCAATATGGAGATATTTTTTAAGGCATGTTTAAACTTATTAACGTCATTTGTCATGTTCTTAAGATTCTGTGGTAAATTATTAAATATCATAATCCCAGAAGAGTAGACACCTTTTTAGACTTTAGTTAATTAATAAGTTCAATGATGTAAATCCGAACCTTGTCTGGTATGGATATTATAAGAACTGAAATCTTGAATGGATGGTTTAGAGCTAATAAATTATCTTTAAACTTCAACAAGACACACTGTATTCAATTTAAAACTAAGACAATGTCAGATACTTTTACAATAAATCACAATAATAAATTCATCAACAGTACCCTCAGTACTAAATTCTTGGGAGTTATAGTTGATAGTGCCTTTATATGGAAGAATCATACTCATTCACTTGTAAAAAAAATTAAGTAAGGCTTGTTATGTAATTAGAAATATGAAATATTATGTCTATTTCAGCTCTAAAGGTAATCTATTATTCCTTTTTTCATTCCTTAATGGGATATGGTATCATCTTTTGAGGAAACTCATCTCATAGTTCTACTATTTTCTTCTAAAAAAAAAAGGATATCAGAGCAATGTTGGGGAATGGCAATATAGTTTCATGTAGAAACATATTTAAAGAGTTAAATGTTTTATCATTTGCATCACAATATACAGTATATTGTTAGTATTTGTATTGCAAAATAAAGTTCTTTTTCCATCAAATATTGATTCTCATACTATTAATACTAAACAAAGACTACACTTGTATTTACCTAAAGCTAATTTACCTATTTATCAAAAAGGAGTTCATTATGTGGGTATAAAAATATTTAATAAATTTCCCATAGAGACCAAGAATACATCTAATAATTTTAAAAAGTTTAAGATTGTATTAAGGCATTTTTTGAACACTCATACGTTTTATACTGTAGATGAATATCTAAATAGATATTTGATAGAGACACACCTGAAGATGGCACATTAGTGCCGAAACATGTAGTGTAAAAGTGAAGGGAAAGGTGAAATTGTGTGCACTGTAAGACAGTTAGCAAAAATACACATCATGGACATGAATCAGTACAACAGGACGCTAAAATATAAAATTATCTAAATAGATAACTTTTATTATTGTTATACTCACGGTACTGTCTACTTGTGTAATAACTATGTGAGTATTCTATGCTCTATATTATTTTATGACATGTTCCATATCCATCTTTGGATCTCTTGAACTTACAATAAATACAAATACAAAGGATATACTGTATGTTGGACAAGGTTATGGAAGTACACACTTGAGTGGTACTAACACGTGATGTATGTCTGCCATACACGTAAATGTGAAATACAAAGTTGTCCATTGTAAACAGAATGGACATTCATTCATTCAAAGGCAAACAAGCAAGCTAGTCAACTGTTTTAAACTTTCACACTTAACAGGTATTTTTACTGAACTAATCTGTGCCACTGCTATACAAGATACAGGTATAACGTGTATATGACATATGTGTTATGAATACCTAAAGTTCTTTAATCCAGGCATATTTCTTAGGTGAATACTTTGCAAGATATGCCCAAAAATGTATTCACAATGCCAAGTGGCCCTTAAACTGAATTGAAGTAAATGAAACTTAATTACTTGAATAAAATATTTCATATCAGCTCTCATTAATATATGCTTACCCCACCCACATTAAATTAAGCTGTCCAGCCCATCACAATTTTCTTCATTACATTACCTTAGTAATACTACAACATGAATTATAAAATTCCTCTTTATGTAAAATAAGGTTCTTTACAATTATTTAATTTCTCTTAGGTCTAATGTTTTCTCCGGCGCTTTTGTTTTCAGACATTACAAATTTATATTCTTCGCTCGGAGTATTATTATTATTATTATTGGAGGGGTGGGGTTCCCCATGCACCACGACCAGTGATCTATTGTACGTCCCCCTGTGATATTCTACCAGTCTCTATACCCTACCGATACTGATGTGTGCCATCAGTCCCGACTCAGCCAGCGAGTTCGGCCTCTACTGGCTCAGCGGTATCTCTTGATGCTTCCCCCATCTACCAGAGGCGTTAGAGACTACTGTTGGGCGGGAAATGTCCTGAATTTCGCTCAGTGGTCCCCTTGGGACATGATGTTCTTTTACGTGCCGTAAAGCTACGACACGGGACCCACGGCTTAAAGTCCCTCCTGGAGGACTTGTTCCCTGAATTTTTCCGCCCTTAAAAATTCGATGACCTCCGCCGGGTTTGAACCCGCGTACCTTGAGTCATGAGGTTGGAACGTTACCCCTAGACTACGGAGGCCGCTTTCGCACGGAGTAAGAAACCATATTCCTCAATCATACAATTCAAGGGGCAACTCACATGATAATGTACTGTATATACATATATATATATATATAAGCCAACTAGCTAAACAGGCACCCACTGAAACATAAAATCTGCATATCTTAAAGAGGCATACAACAGTCAGTGATAGTCTAACTTCTAATTGTAAATAATTAAGGGAATTAAGACTAAGTTTCACAGTGTCACATAATTTGTCTCAGCTGCCTTATTTATGTAACAAATGAAGAATGAAAGACACTGAACCCACCTGCCTCACAGTAAGGCAATCCATCTTCCAGGAAGAATGGGTTGTTTCCAAACAGCTTGCCACAATAAGCACACAGGAAGCATTCTGGATGAAAGTGCTTGCCAATAGCATTCAAGCAATCCTGCAAAAACAATTTATACCCTATTTTAAAACCAGTAATAAGTAGATAAAATGTAAGTTCATGTTTAAAAGTAACCTTATCCTGAAGTATTATGTCAACATACTATTTAAAAATCCCATGTTTCCAAAGATGTGCAGCTGTACTGCAATGTACATTATTTGAGTACACAGCACTCCTGTTTCATATTTGGGGTTCCCAGGTTAAAATATCAGCTCAGACACTGGATATTCTCACTCAGACTCTGTCATCATTCCCTCCAGGCAAATGCCGGGATAGTACCTCAACTTAGGCCATTATCACTTCCTCCCCCACCCTCTCCATTCATTATTCATTACCATCAAATGCTTATACTTTGTAAGTTTTGAGATTTTCACGGTGGCCATTCACCTGCTCTGAAGATGGAGGCGATACGTTCCTCCGAAAAGTCGGCCCAAACGAAGAATACACGGCGCCAAAACCCAGAAGACGAATTTCTTCAAATGCTTATACTGTTTAAGCTACTGACAGTATCATTAAATAAACCATAAATAAATGAATAAGTACACTATCAATCCAGTTGACAGAAATGAATTATACTAGAATATGTATCATATCAAACACTGTATTTTTATTCCAGCATTTCTCTATAAACTGGCATTTAAACCCTGATAACACTTCCTTTATTTATACGAAATAGAAGAATTCCTTTTCAGGAATATATTCCAATAAATTTGTGTAAATATTAGTTCAAAAATTCGGCCTATCCATTATTCTGTTTCAATTAAACAATTTATCAGAGTGTATGAAATAAAATGCTTCATTTTTGTAAGTACATTCCATAAAAATATTTCTGTCCAGTTTACTGTGATTTAACATATGGAAGAGTTGACATACAGGTAACACATGATGAGAAAGTCAGTATTAACTTACTCCTTTGACCTTGGTGCTGCATTTATCACACGTGGGAGCCAAGTACTTCTCAAAACAATATTCACAATATAGTTCTCCCTTCTCCTCTACAAAGCCAATGTCTGCCAGTGGGCGACGGCATTGGGCATTCACACATACAAAATGGTCTGGGCACCAGTTCTTGCCCAGTGCAGTGATGAATGGGCCTCTGAAATAGACCATTTAAATTACTGCAGATCAGCTTACTGTTCACAACACTGCTGCTGGTCATAAATAATTTATGTCAGAACATGAGGCAGGAACGGAGGAGACTGTTCCATCTTAAACCAAAAAATTTGTCTAAGAAAACATATATCAAAGTATCTGTGCCTCACAGTTCATCATGGAAACTAATATAACATTTTCCCACTTAGCAAACTCTTGAATTCAACAGGCTAATTCTGTGAGACTATATGTTTCAAGATGGTCAATATGAAGGCGACTGGGATTTGGCATAATGTAGTCTGGTAGAAAGTTGTGGGCATTTCAGATGAAACTGCTGTCACCATAGTCAGGCCTGACATGTTGGTAAAAAATGTTGTAAAATCATTATTTCTATTTCCTGACTCTAGAAGAATTGTTACATATTTTCTTAATAATTATATTATATTATAGTATATTATTTTTATTCCATAAAAAATTCAAAATGTTTTCATGTCAGAGCACAAATAGATATAAGTTTAAAACTAAAAATAATAATACATTTTCAAACTCATACTACAATGAATCATGAGGCCAGAAGAATGTTTAACTACTCTGATATAACACAGTAAATTTCCTCAACACTTTGATCATTTTCTTTAGGATTTAATATTACACAAATTTATATAACTAATCATGTGGGGTGAAATCAGTTAAGACAGCTCCACTATACATTACACAAGTGCCAGAGTCAACGAAGAACACGACTTCCTTTCTTTCCATTAGCATGAAGAATACAGGGATGCACAAACACTGCCTTATTGTTAAACACAAAATTTTCCAACAAACACCAATGAAAGTTATGCAACATGCCTTGTTAAGGGTTACTTCTTACGTCTTGGTGGGTCACGGCAGCTCATCTGGTCTTCCATCACGGCTACATAAGTTCAGTAAGTTATCATAATGTTCTCTTAATAGACTTCAATGAGTTAAAAATTGCAGCCATGCACTATACCATTAATGTCCCTTATACTACATAGGTTTTTACATCATACAAGTAGAATGATACTGTGTCATCTCTATTCTCTGCTTTTGGCATTATACCTAACTATCAGGACTCTGATGGAAAGAGAACATTAGGCAGTAGACTCACAAATATGAGTTTGTCAATGAAGAGATCAGTATCATAAAATATCACTAAAATAAAGTAAAATTAAAGAAACCTAACTAACTACTCATTCCATGGAGATAAGTTCTCCTTGAGAAATCAAATACCCACTTAGCCACCCTTCACTGAATCCAATGATCAATTACTATGTTCATAACAGCCTGTCACTAGAACTGTTCTGATGACTTCATTCCACACCCACATATTCTATTTATTTAAGATTCAATTCAAATATTATCCTCCCACCTGCACACGTCTCCCAAGTGGTCTCTTCCTTTCATGTTTTCCAATCACAATTCCGTTTTCATTTCACATCTCTTAAATTTGTCATCTCATAACTTACAAGGCGAAATTGGAAAAAGAGAAATCTTGATATCTACACGCTATAAGTGCTGAAGTCTTTACCAAATTTACTCTGTTGCAGTAACCCTAATGATTATATTACACTTCTTAATTATATGTTCCACATTATGAATAAATTTACCTTCTAATTTGTTTGTCGCACTTGATGCACATGGGATAAACATCATTCTCAATTGATTCTCTGATTGTCTGCACTAAAGCTTCTGTTAACATTAAATGCACAAGAACAAGTTAACACACAAAACTCAATCATCATGCCAGTTCAACACTAGACAGGATTAGTATAACACACAATACAAACTTATGTATTGATATAACTTGGTACAACTGCACACAAAATGAACAGATAGTGTCTAAAGGGAGACGCCAAAGTGACAATGTTGCCAGAATGTTTCAAATCTACATGATTGAAGACTATTATTACTCAGCTAAAAACACAATTAATATGTCCCTGCTGATTGATGACCCATAAAACAAAGTAATATATGTTTTGTAAGTTATGAAAGCAAACTAAATGTTCTAAAATTAAATTTTCCTATTCTGAACATAAGTAAAAATTATCTTTATGATGTTGCAACCTGTTTGTGTAAATTTAAATTATCACTATATACCTTTATACATATATTATTTCTGAAAAGTCAGTTATACCTTGCATCAAGAATTTTATAATGCTGAATCCTGCGTGCGCAACTAACCATATCTTATAAGAATAAGGTTTGTTAGACTGTACTGTTCATTTAAAAAATGATTTCTTAACAACACAAATTAGCACACATCTAATTTCAGTAGCACACAAATTAACTGTACGATATTCATATGTTATTTATTATCATTCTTCATATACTATCAATTAAAGACATTTTGATTGGCTGCTTAGATGACACATTTCGACATCTACAATGTCAGCCTCAATGCGTTGTAATTGATGGTGAATAATAAATGATAAAATAATGTCAAGGATTACAACAGCATGCAATTCAACCTTGAAGTATGTATTCATGTGTATAAGTACATATTATAGGTTTGTAATTAATAAGTTTAAAAGCTATCATTATTAGACTGACTCTGTAATTGGCCACTGGCTACTGAGCTCAGCACATAAATAAATAAAGAATTGAACTGAATTATTGTCGTCGTCAATGTCATCATCACCGCTACTGTTATCATCATTATTATGCTGTCGTCACCATTCATGTTCTTTTTCAGTCAGAGTATATAACAGGAAAATATGACAGTATATGTAGGCTCTTCAATAAATATCATCAGAGGATGTGTTACAATCATATTTATTACTTCGACATAGATGTCCAAAAAAAAAAAAAGAATAAGATGAAGGCACTATATCTGTCCATGTAACTGCCAGCTCAATGGAGATATCTGTCCCAGTGATACATTACCTTTGATTCCTATGGAAAATGTGAGGCCTCAGTGTTTGCACCCACCACTATACCTCGATTTTCATTTCATCATGCAAGAAGTATTTCCCTTCAGAATGCTTCTTCAATGGTCCAGGGAAAGAGCAGTCACAAGATGCAAGGTTCAGATGGATGGTGGATGGGTAAAATATTCCAAGCAGTCTGCAGACAAGTTACACTGATGGCATTCTGGGATGCATAGGGCCTGCTCCTATGCTAGCTCCTTGAACCATGTGGCAACAGTGAATGCATAAAACTATGGCACAACGCTGTGGAAATTGAAGGAACAAATCTGAACGAAGCAATGACTGAACCCTAATTTCTTCTCTGCTGGAATTCAGCAGGTTGTGTATCAATAGGGCAAATGTCTCAACTACTCTGATGACAATGTGGAGAAATTGAGGGTTTGTTGATTATTCTTTGTTCTACAGGATATTTACAGGATATGTTGAAGTAAACATGAGTGTAACACATCCTCAGATGTTATTTACTGAATATCGCCTATATATTCATAAGGTATGATTAAAATATGTGATGTATGAAAATATACGAGTACTTTTAAGAGTTCTAGCTGGAATCCCTTGTTTATTTGGTAAGATAATCATTACCATTAAACTAAGCCTAAGGACTGATATTTCAAGAAACAGAAAAGGATGTTGTTCACTTCTCTGTTATATAAAATAAAATAAAAAAATCAGTGCTAAGCCGAATGATAAGCCATAATTCTAAATGTTCAAAATGACAGTCATACTTACAACTACTGTATATGCTACCTTGCATGCAGTCAATAATGACACACTCCACAGTAAATGAAAAATGTCATGCACAGCATGAAATATTCTGTTCAACATTCTACAAAGCAGGCAACAAGCAAGGCTATGAAAACAAGAAATGGTGAAATCACCATAAAATCCATCACCCATTTAAAACATCATAATAAATTATATCACAATGAAATATATCATAATTACCAATTATTTAAAGAAAACATACACTAATAATATCATAAGAAGAGCATTATTTACTACACTTATGTAAAAGACAAGAAATTAGGAAGTTCCATAACAATGACAGATGGATTTACATCCTTACACATGGGGGAGATATGAATTTTCAAACTGAAATATCATATCAACTGCATGAAATATTTAGGAGTTACCCTGGAATAGTTTTATTTAAAGTTTTCATGTAGTAAAAAACTTACAGGTCACATTGGACGGAGTGATTTATATTTGTAATTGTTAGTGTGACGGACCAGAAAGAAAACAAATCAAACTTTTATTTAAATTTCTGCATGTTTGTAACAGCAAGAGAAGCCTCTGAGAAACTTTCCAAATTGGCTATTTTGAATGGAACAGCAAATGAACTAGAGATCTGTACTGTTAATGTGAACATGTATTCTGAGGTTCAAACAGATATTTGAAAATTAGTTTCTGTTACTACCTTTGGTATTTCTAGCACTCCTGGCAAAGAAGTTGGATGTGTAACATTACCCACAAAACATGTCTGTCATTTGATTGTATTTTTCATGACACTGTTCCTGGAGAAGCACTGTGTGCTAAAAAGGCTTGATCACATGGAAGTTATAATGAAAACTGTCACTAAATTGTCACCTTCATTGCTTCATAGACTTTAAATAAATGATAATTTAAATTGTCTGAAAGAGGTTAATTCAACATATGGTAGTTTGCTGGTGTGTCCCTTTGAATGAGGTAAGTATGAAACTACACTGTTCAGGGAAGCCAACTGATGTCACAGTCAGAATCATTACAGCCTTTTAAAGGTGCTCAAATTATATCAACATCACCTGAACATTAAAGCATTTTCCTCAAGTGAATGATCATAAAATTTTGGGGACCTAGAGATGTAGTAATTGAAACCTTTCTCAGATATAATTACTGAAGTATATGAAGCATCTTCCTCAATATTTTTTGGCTACAGGCATTTTGTGTCAACAGTAACCATTCTGAAGTAACTTGCCACTGCACAACCAGAAAACTTGAAGCTCACTGTGTTTATATATATGTGTGTGCGTGCGCGCGCGCATGCACGCACACACGCGCACAAACACAAACACACACACACACACATACATATACTTGAATTTCATCTTAGCTCAGTTTGGTGTGAGAAGTTTGTTGAACTAAGAAAGTATATTGTAGAAATGAAATATAAACATTTGGCAAGGCCTACACTTGAAACACACGTGAATGTTGAAAATTGATTAGCAGGAGTTTGGAACACACTGCTAGCAGCAGTCTGTATTCTGGGGCGGATTCAGTGGCACTGTTAATTTTTTGTATCTGCATGAACTTGTGAAACTTGTGAAGGTCCAGAGACAGGGACTAGCTCTACTGATTGGGACCAACTGAGTAGGTTTTACCTGACAACGGAAACAGAATCCAGTCTACAAAACATTGTTTTTTCAAATAAAAATAGGACATTTTAGATAAAAACAGGATGATGGATGTCAAGATACATAATATTTGTATTATGAAAGTTTATTTCCTGCAATGAAATATGTGAAATCCAATTTTAGAGATGGACTTACTAATGAAAACAGTCATACTTATGTGAGTTGCGGAGACCTAATTCTGAAACTAATATAACATCATTAGCAACAAAATTCAACCAAAAATTCTCACTAACTTAGCTGATAACAACTTATTTGGAATAAACTACAGCCTCAAAGAAATACAATTTTTTAAAGCTTGATGTAACTTATGGGCATATAAAATTAAGGCAAACTCGGCATGACGGCCACTGATTGTAGCCTGCCATGGGTGATTATTTTGATGGAGAATTTGGTGGAATGAAAATTGGCAGGGGAAACCGAAGTACTTGGAGAAAACCTGCCCCAGGGCCACTTTGTCCACCACAAATCCCACTTGACCAGACCCGGGTTTGAACCCGGGCCGCAGCAGTGGGAAGCCAGCAACTAACCGCTTGACTATGGCACGGCCCCCACTGAGAATTCATCAGGAAGTTTTATCATTTGTTATATAAGCTGTTGTAACATTAACTTCCCCTGCCTTCTTCCATATTATTTTTATGGACTGCATTTATTGTATGATGCATCAAGGATGACATTCAATGTCATATTTCATTAATACGTAACATGTGTAAATAATCTACCATAAACTATCTTCTTTATGTAGTATATTACATGTCACATATCCACACCAAAATATCAATTCTCGTGGAACAGAAAAGATGTACTGAAATGAAAAACCATTTATTTATTCGTGACCTAATGCATACCGTACATTCATGCACTACATTAACACTAGATCATTCATTATTGTGGTAACCAAAACTTATGTAATGGCAATATATAGGTAGAAGGATAATACATATCCTGTTTCCTATTTGCTTGGAGATAAATATGTTGTCATGATTTATTTCCTTGTGATGTAATTACAGCCATGCTTTATTAAAGCAGAAGCAAAGTATCTACTAAAACATTATAAAATGAGAGTTCCTGTAATATCCAGATAACACACCAAACTTTAAATTACACAAAAAAAGAAAGAGTCTAATTACACATTTTATTTACGACGACTACCCATATTTTGATATTTTGGCATCCAGTGCTTCTGTTCAGAACAATCTGAACACAAATCAAACATGAAGTGCAGCCAGCAGTCACTGTCATAATACTAACAGGCAAACAGGCAATGTTTGATTTCCAACTGAATACCTGATTTGTGAACTGCAGTGAGCACATAAGGGGATCCTGCCCCCTGCAATTGAGCTCTGTTGGGTCAGCACTCCCCTTCCCCTATGAGGGGCTGTTGAACCAGCAATGCTTGCACCCTTCTGGACCCCACCAGGTACACCAATACCGCCACCACCTGCATTTGGGACTGATGAAGAACTTGGAGCTGAAGGGGTACTAGCTATAGAAACTGGCTGAGTGGCCAAAACAGGAACAATTTTCGGGACTACTGGCATTGTGGTACTGATAGAAGGGTTAGGGGCTGCAGGTTTAGACTGTGATGCTGACAGAGGGGATGGCTTAACAACAAGAGCTGATGGCACTGGTTGAGGGGCTGCAGGAGTAGGAAGTTTAGGGACAGGGCACAACGGCAAGGGTTGTGTGGTTGACAGAGGAGAAGGGCCCAGGAGTAGGTTCTGTGGAGCAGAGAATGGCTGGGGTTGAGGAATTGTGACAGGTCTAGAAGCTATGTCCAGAGATTCTGTTTCGGTGACTTCTGGAAGAGGGATGTTAGGGAAAGGCATGAGAGATTGTTGAATCAGTGGTTCAGGCTGTACAGCTGCAGGTGGTGCAGCAGGGGCAGCAGGCTGATAGGATGCATATGGTTTATGTGGAGGAAGCTGACGTTGAAATGATGCTGAAGGTTTCTGTGGAGCATATGGAACTTCAGTCTTAGTGAACAGAGGCTGAGGAGTCAGAGCCCGAGGCACAGTCATGGGACAAGTTGGGGTAGCAGATCGGGGTCTCTGTCCTGGAAATTCGCCCATTTCTTGCTGATAAATTGGAATTATGGCTGGTTTCTGCAAACCTGCTGTTGTGTACTTTTGTTGCTGAATCGGGGTTCCACTGCGGCTACATGATGTAGGAGTTGCTATTCTCTGTACTGGTGTCTTAGGTCTGGCAGCAGGAGGTGCTGCACATTCAGTGCTCAATTCATAGGAAACTGGAGGTCGAGGTGAATGTGGTTCTTTGTCTAATACTACTTCAGAAGTAATAGGTTTAAATTCAGTTGCTGGTATAATTGGTCTAAAAGCCCCAATTACAGGCAATGCTCCAGATGACACAGGCCGTTGTTTTGGAGTAATTTTTATAGATACAGGTTCAGGTTTAGAGGTTTCTGCAAATTTATGGGAAGGTGCAGAAAGAAGGGGAAACTGTGTTTCGTCTCTCAGCAGTTGTTCATTTGGTGAGAATTCTACAGAAGCAGGGACTGGACCATTAGTAAACTTTGCTGTTTTTGGCAGTGTTACACAATCTGGAGTTCTTGTTGAAATGGACAAAGGAGAATATGGTCGGTCAGGGGCAATAGTAAGTGCTGATGTTAAAGGTGAAGGGCAAGTACATTCAGAACTCGAAGGAGCCTGTATGTTAGTTTGCAGTGGAGCTGGTATTGATGAAGATGGTTTTACAACCTGAGTACTGGTTAGCAATGGAGCTACTTTTGCAACAGATGGATAAGCCGCACCTCTAGCCAATGGAGCTTCGATGCCAGCTGGCAGTGGAACAGGGGCCACAGGTCTGACTGCCTGTGTACTGACTGGCGTTGTTTGTACTGGAAACTGTGCCATGACTTTTGTAGCAGAAGATAACGGAGAATAGGGTCGGCCTGGGGCCACTGTAAGTGCTGACAATAGAGGGGAAGGACATGCAGTTTCATGATTATGTGCAGCTTGAACACTGGCTGGCAATGATCCTGAGGCCACACATTTCACAGCAGCTGGGTAAGAAGCTTGAGTGGCGGTAGGTGCAGACTGCATTGGAACAGGGGCTACAGCTTTGGTAACAGTTGACAAGGGACAGTTTGATTGGTCCAAGACAGCTGTAAGTGCTGATGACAAAGGTGACAGGCTGGTAGTTGACTGATCCTGTGCTTGGGAAGGGAAAGGTAGGGTAGGTGGAGTATCTGCAAAAATTTGAAGTGGTTGAATGGTTTCTGAGATGAAAGAAGATGACTGATGAGAGGAAATATGACGTGTCTGCTGTTGGAACTGCATCGCAGAATACTCCTGCTCCCATGAGACAGGTACAAATCCACTAACTGCTTGTGAAGGAATAGTATGTGATTGACTGTTTATATTTTGTTCACATTTTGAAATGACCTCAGACTGTGAAGTAACTGCTGAAACGGGGAGAGGACAAAATGAGCCATCTGAAGCTGTTACGGTTGACTGAGCCTCTTGTGTATCTGCAGTAAGTTGACTGGAAGATTTTGCCTCTGAAACCTGTAAAGAATCCTGCTGAGATGAAACTGGCTGCTCAGTAACATCAATATACTCTGACTGAGATGCAGACGAAACCTCTTTTGTTTCAATATTTGTTCTTTCAATGTTTGCAATTTTGGTTGACTGAACACTCTCAGGAAGAGCACTGGACTGACTTTCTGAAAGTACAGATAGTTTCCTGTCAGCAGCAGGAGGAACCAATTCACTGACATGATTGGTTGCCTCAAATGTTGTACTTTCTGCAGCAACTGCTTTAGCCTGCTCATCTGGCATAGAATTATGATTAGCCTCTTTTGAGATATCTTCTTCTATGGTCAAAGGTAGGTCTTGAAAAGAACAAGTTTTACTGTCTTCCATTGGAACTGGAGATTCAGGACGCTTCACTGCGTCGGGAGTCAGGGAGGACACCAGGGTCTGAGTCTGAAGAGTCTCTGAAAGTGTTTCAAATTTTGGTGCAGATTTATCTGCATTAATTGCAAACACTTCCTGAGAACATAGAGAGAACTTCTTATGAAGTCCTGTATATTGGACAGCATTTAAGTCCTCAGCCTGAGAGTCTTCAATTGAAATGGCATTTTCTTCACAAGGAAAATGTTGTAACGCAGGTTGTAATGGGGGTAGTTCATCTGGTGGTTGTGAGTGCCCTTGCTGTAAGGGTGTTGGACTTGAGACTGCTCTCAGTGGAGTCTGTTGCTTCGTCAGATAGACTGAGAAAGGCTGTGGGAAAGGAGCAGTTTGCTGAGTAAGAACACTTGTAGTTGACTGAGAAGGTAGAGGTATATCAGCAGGGGCTGGAGCAGAGCCAGATAATGGAGAGTAGGGACGTTCTGGGGCAATCGTAAGCGCTGATGTCAGAGGTGACAGACAGGCAGCTGCACGGTTTTGTGCTGCAGGAGTGATGACAGGAGCTGGTGCAGATGTAGATTTTACAGAAGATAGAGGAACCGTGGGAGATGGCCTTCCACTTTGTGTTAATGAAATACTGGTTTCATGGTGAGGATTTGGTGGGATATACAGAGGAGTTGCAGTGGGAGAGGATGCTTCTTCTTCTGATCTTGAGGGGGGCCACACAAATTTACTACAAGCTAAGTTTAATAGCAGATATTATTACAGTTCATTGTTACCAGCATAACAACAGCAAAAAAAAAAAAAAAGTAAAAATAAAGCATTTCAATCACACAAATATGAAAAGAACCAGTCACACAAAATGGAACAAGAGCCCAAGGTGTTAAAGACATATCCAATTGATCAGAAAGGAATAGTTAATAAACATAGCAAAATAAAAATATTTTGACACAAAGGAGAGTATTAATAGCAAACAGACATATTATTGAACATTAATATTGAGATGTTGATTTGGATTTTTTTAGTAAGAAATTTTTGGAAAGTTAGGGAAGAAAAATAAAAAAGAGAAAGAGAAAAAGGAAGTTACATTATGCAGATAAGCACAGCATTATTAGTAGAAGCCAAAAGTAAAAAATAAAATATTAGAACCTACATAAAAATGACTGACGTTTCTAAAATAGACTACAGTGTCATAATTTAAAATGCACTACTACTATGTTGGAAAGCAATGTAGCATTTCATGTAGCAAATATTTGTTAATGAGACACTTTGTTTTATCTGTTATCCTGCAATTAAAAAGTACTTAGAGACAAGTGTTTTATAGAATACGAACAAATACTGATCATTCAATCATTGGTGATTATCAATGGTTGCTGATCTAAATGATGAATGCACGTTCTAATCTGCCCAACATACAAGCAGATATTCTTGTGTGCTTGTCGGTTATATACCTCACTCTTCGGTCACCTATTTCCACATAATGTATTTTCTCCAAAACAGAGCACAAGATGCATTATGGCAGACTACAGAGATTAGGCCAATTAATTAAGCAATTAGGAAGTAATTAAGCTATTAACTTTTGAGAGCTGCTTTTGTTTTCTACCTCCTAATTAATGAGAAATGGTAAAAGGTTTGGGTATAGGATTGAAAGATTTGAAGGCTGAAAAGAAAGAAAAACTGTAACAGGATACAGAAATAATTGATTTAAGTTATGTTTTAAATTCTGTACTTTATAGTTTAAAGCATTATCCTTCACTAGGACTTCATATTATACAAGGAATTAAGAAGTTACGTGGGTGAACATTTCTCACGCAAATATTAGCAAATGAACTCTCATTTATCTACAAGTGAGTTATATTATTTGTGTATTAAGTATGTTGCAAAAATAAAAAAACTCTTTCTCGTCATAAAACTGGTTACTAACTGAGTTGATAATAAACATAAGCAGATCAGGTGGGGCCGAAACTTTTAAAGCTATTTCCTCATGAAACATTTTTACAAATCTAAAATTTATCGTTCTTGTACTTTTTAGCTCACAAAAGAAAAGTTTCATATAATTATGAAATCAGATTGCAAATAATCAAGAAATGACTGATGCAGCTTCCTAACCAGTGAGTAATACAATATATTTAAGAAATTCAGTTACTTAAAATGATCCCAGGCAATTCTTTGGCAACAGACAATTTAGTAATATTTTTTCATTCTTAAGTATCTTACATAGAACTTAAATTATTTTTAAAATCCAAATTAGAAACTGTTCGTACTAAATATATTTTCCAAATGTAACATAGTCCTAATGTTAACAGATCTGTTCACATATTTTCATACTAAATGAGAATGGAAATTTTCTCATGTTATATGTGCTGCTTGTACTTATGCATAGGCATGTGGTGGTAGTTTATTTTGATGAATACTTGACGATTTGAATACTTACTTATTTGGCTTAAAATACTTCTCTGTTGCTAGGCTAATGATAAGTTTGATATATGGGCAATTACAAAGTGCACAATGGCCAGTTTAGGAGGAAGGGATAAAGTAAATCACGTCTTAATTAAATTTATATGAGCCATTTGTAACATAAATTACTTCCATCATTCGACAATACAGTACACATGAACAGAAATGAAGGCGACTGAACCTACTTTACTTTCATCTCTGTGAATTTACACATACAAACATTTTAAAGCAACGTGCGGCCAAAAAACCCATAAAAATTAGGACATTTAGTGGTGCAAAAACATAAATGAATAAGTAGTTAATTTTTTTCCCCCACTGTGTATTTTTTTAGGATGGTGTGATATTCCGTGGCTTGTCAAAGAAAACTGACACTGTGAATGGACATATCTCCTTCCTTAGTTTACTTCCAAAAATGTTCTGAGGCTCTTTCCCTAATTGTCTCATCTGTCTGTTTTTAATCCTTAACTAAATCTGTCTCTCTCGTTTCTTAGCCACAAAAATATTAATGGAAGTAAAATTTTCAGACAAAACTAAACACGAGGAAATTTGAATTAGAGGAATTTTCAAGGGACATCCAAAAATATCTACTGATACTGTTTGCTTGATACCCTAGCTTATTACAAGTCTCCCAATTTGAACCATCTTATAATTATCCAAGAGTCTGGTTGGCTTGACTGAGGTCAGGGCAAGATAAATTGACTGAATTACTAATCCAGACATAAATCTTTCATACAGACATAATGTTTGGAGGTGTATATGAGAATTACCAAGAGTGATGCTCAACAGCAATATGTATTGCTTCTGCTATTCTTGCTACAAACTGTTATATTCGCTATGTTGAACTCTTACTTTATAATTAACTTGCAGTGCCCAATGGACTGATTCTTTACTCTCAAGTGATGGTAACAGGGTAAGAGCTAAACAAGATGGTTGCCAGAGTGTTTGAAAGCATAATTCATTTATAGAAGAGTTCTGTTTTCATTTAAAGAAGTTGGATTCCATACTGTCATGAACATTATTTTATAGACCCTCCAAAAATCATATATTTACATGACCAATAATTATTAAATTTCAGAATTAACATAAACAAAAACAATGTTAAGTTTTAAGAATAATATTTCTTTTGCAATATGAGGATTCCAAAATCAGCTCTCAGAAGTTGTACAATCCAATATTATTTGACAGCTATAGTCATGCTCAAGAAGACTGTATCACAAAGAAACCGGCAATGCAATTTGTGAGGTGCCATTAGGCCTTTGTGAAGCAACACAATATTAATTCACTTGTTGCACCAACCTCTGAATGTGATTTATGGTGCATCAAACCAAAAAAAATGTATTATTGCCAGTGTTTTTACCTTTAATGTTGGTTATTGGCCTCAGTGTTGAGAAATAACCTGAACAATTAAAACTGTCTCAAAAATTATGTCTTAAAATATCAAATTATTAAATTCAAGTCCTCAAATACATACACTTGCAATATGCGCGAATGTCAATGGCAATGTAAGACACGATGATTGTTAGGAGTAAAAAAAAATGGGTACAGGGAAGGAGTGGGAAGAAGAGGACAACTAAGCAAATGTGAAATCAAAGACAGTCGATTTTATGCTACTTCAACCATGAATGAGCTATAACTGAGACTCAAAGGATTTCTTCATAGCTGAACTCTTATTCAAGGCAAAGCTGCTTCAGCCATAGCAACAGGAAAAATCAGTGCAAAAATATTGCATATATTTGCACATGACATTTGCATGACTTTTCATTGTGGATATGAAATAGACTGTTGCTCAGTAAATAACTATTGATTATTGAATACTGAACGACAGTGAAATTCATCCAACTGATAAAGTGGTCTTGATAAAAATGACATTTCGCTTCTGGGCCTCTAGCAAGCATACTGTTACTTTCCTGAAGATATCATCTGTGCAATTTCATTCAGGCAGATGGTTTCGACAAATTACTGAAATTTAATTAAAATCATAAGAACGTTATCTAGAAAACTAACATTTTATAGTTGGGACCCAACTGAAGAGCTCTTATGCCATAGAGCTAAAATGTTCATATTCATGACCTATTACAGACAATTATTAAATACTGAATATGAACAAAATCCATACAACCATTCAGGCGCTAGTGAGGAGCACATAAAGATACATACAGAAAATGCATACATACACGCGCGCACACACACACACACACATATATAAATTGATTTCTTTTTCCATGATGACAGTACTTCCTCATAAATATTACACATATGATAAAGCATATTACATAAATAACTAAAAATATTCATCTCAAGGTCTTCAAATTAACAGTAGAAAGATGAAGAGGCATTTATCAAAGATAATTTTCATTTCATGCATCCTGTTGTGTTATAATATATAACTTCTTTATTGACACCGTCACAACACAACTATATCCAGGCACTGACCTTGATATGGTTGTGTTGCGAAGATCTTAATAAAGAAGTTATTTATCAAAGAGTATGGACAGTGCACTGCATTTGCTGCAGGCGTCTGGTAAGAGTTACTCCTTCTGCACCATCCTATACTGCAGTGAGTTTTTACAGGAGCCCATTCTCGGTGGAAAGATGTCAGGTGCTCTTTCAGTAAAGTTAGGACTATCTGTGACACCTAAGTTTATTGTATAAAAGCAGCATCATAAGATTTCACAGTTGACTGTGGTATTAACACTAGAAATGGACTGGGAAATGATGTTGATATCCATGCTGTTAGTAAAGAAAACTAACTTTCAGTATAATGCAATATAGGTATCAGCTTACACTGCCACTAACAAACAGATATAATTTATGCTAGTAAATTATATGTAGATATGTCTATTTTATATACTGTATGTCTTGCAATATGTTTCCTTAATTTAACTGAAAGGAAGCATGAACTTTGGATAAAAGAAGAGCTATAAATATAATTCAACGTAATGTGTTAACAATGCATCAATTCCAACAAACCTGCTGTATTTATGAGTGATGCCAAATATGATGGAATCTAAATGAGACTTTAAATTTTCTGTCCAATGTTCAAAGGAGCATAATTGTTTAAACTCCTTGCTCTACAATTCAATGAGCATATCATATACACTTTTACATGTCATTATAGACATTAAATATAGTGCCAAATTTCTATTAACATATTAACTGATGCCTTCAAGAATTTTAAAGAACCTCCATTTCAGATCTTCCTCCTTTAATTTTCATAATTATACTCACTCAGTCTGAAGGTTTTAAGTATGTGAGGTAAGACTGTAAAATTAATTTTGCCATCCCGGATTAAATTTAAAATATCATTCTCATAATTTTATTAAAGATATTGTAAAATATAATTCTCATTAGTTACAAATTTCGAATTATGTAAACATGGAGAACACGAATTACCAAGAGGTGGAGAAGTGAGGTGGTTTCACTGGGGATCAGTCAAAGATTGTATCATATCTATCATAAAACCACTTGGACACAGTGTCATTGAACATGCTGGTCTATCAACAGTGCTCCAGACTTGCATTTGAGGGGTACTCAGAACAAATCTCAGCCAAAACACCATCTATCCTCACTGAAGTTTTTCGTGATTTTCATCATTCCTTTTGGCAAATGTCGGGATAGTACCTCAATTATGTCATGGCTGCTGCACTCCCATCATTTCTCTATCATTCCATCATTCAATGCTACATAGTCTGTAATACTAGAAGTTTCATAAGAATTCTACACAGACTGCCATAGCACTGAAACTGTCTCTCTGCTGTGAGTACCTTGAGTTCAGTCATCCAAGCTACGATACAGCATTTGCATTCATGTAGTTACACTGTTCTCTTAAAAATTGACTGGTAATTTTGATCAAATTAAATTTACAATATTGAGCTATTCTGCAATTTTATACATGATGTGAATTTCTCATCTTAACTGAGTGTAGTGAAGACTTATTGGGTGCTCAGCTATGACAGTGTCAAGTGAATTTTGAACGTTTCATAAGCTGTATCTGCCTTTGCCTTCACAGACTGACATTATGGTTGTGACAGTTGTTCACTGAGCACATTCATACTGTCACCTAATGAAGAAGAAAAAGCAGGGTGTTGGAGTTACTTACTCTACTTAAACCAATGTCAGTGTTAGTTAACAAAGAAATAGGTGTCAC